GAAGAAGACGCAACAACTTTGGACTTGTGGTACAAAATTACCACGGTCAGAGAAAACATTCATATAAACCTTATTAAATATGACGAACTGATGTTGTTTTGAAGGGCGTCTAATAGCCGAATGGTTAAGTCGCCATACCCACGTGCCAGTGGTCACAGGCTCAAATCCTGGTCAACAAGCCAGGCGCTTTGTGAGCACTCTCAGTGCTTGTAGCAATAGGGCCATCGTTCATCACAGATGCACTGTGAAATGAATGAGGTTCAGCATATGGACCTTCAGCCAAGTCGATGGACAGTGTTATAGATAGTAGCAGATTCACAGTCAAAGGAAATAGTGGAATCGCAGAGTATCAATGTATTACTGAAGTTATCCTACAAGACGGCAGCTAACCAACAAATTAAAATCAAATCATCATAATGGTAACTATCTACCGGGAAAGATTACCTAGCTAATGTCAGCCGCGATCTTAAATTTTCACAATCTTCACATTGATGAACAGATTGTATATAAAATTACACGACATAAAAAAAATGTTATTTGTAGAAAATTATTTGCATATGTGTAATATTATAAAACATATTAATATGATTCTATACAAATTTGTATTATATATTTTTTTTTCCAAAATATACTTTTTTAAATTAAATAAAGCTTTTTTTATGGTACTATTAAGTGTAACATCTCTCTTTTATTAATTATGAAATCGTAAAAATTATTTCAACATTATCAGTATTCGATCGGTCCAGATTGAAAACAAACTTAATTTAATGAATGAAAAATGATTTAAATTTATGCTATACATATTTCTATTAAATACTCCGATTTGTGCGGTTTCAAACAGCTTTGGCTTTATGCGAAGTATTGGCCATTGCACAAAGCTTCCTTACATTAAATGAATAGATTACTTTTTTAAAAATAATTAGTTTAAATAATAAATGTTAATTGATTGACAGACCAAACGTGATTTAATCAAAAACAAAATCCCCTCAAGTTATTCCTGGATGGAAATGAATTATATAAGGAAGGAAGTAAGTTGATTGTTGTACTACAGCAAAAAGGTTATATAGAATTATTTGTAAAATAAATTAAGTCTTAGGCTTTCTTGAAATATTAAGGTACGTCCTGCTGATATTATGTTTTATAGAGATTTTTTTTAATTAAAAAATAATTAAATTAATAATATTAGACATATGATTATTTTTAAATATATTTATATATAAATTTATTTAAAGTAGTTGTTTGAATCAATTGAAATTACAAATATACATTCAGCTACAAACAAGGGAAATATTGTATAATATTAAAATTAATAAGGTTTATATGAATGTTTTCTCTGGCCGTGGTAATTTTGTACCACATGTCCAAAGTTGTTGCGTCTTCTTCCATATGTTCCATTCGACATGTACATGGCTCCCTCGACTTCTGGACCATTCACAGTTTCCATGAATGTTCTGGGTATTCCCGAACTCTTCTTAATCGGCATTCTGTCTTTGCCTAAAGGACAATCATTAATCCAATGCCCTGGTATATAACATTTTCGGCAAACATAATTTGCAGGCATCATCCTATTTATTGGGGCAGTTTGGTTTCTAAAAATAAAAAGTTGCTCAATTAACATCTACATTATCATGAAATTATCATGGAAAAGTGTACTTACTTCTTAGAATTGTTATTTGTAGGGTTTCGATTGATGATTGCATCAATCTTGTCAGTCGTCACAGTTGCATTTTTATCTATCAATGTTTTAGGACCTTGTTTCTTAACAGCTACTGGTATTCTTCCATATAAAACACTGCTATTACTCGAGATTAACATTTTGTCATCAGCATATACTAAAAATAATATTGGAAATTAAAATACAAATTTATCGTGTGTGTTTTTTTGCATATCACTTACCTTTATTGGTATCTGCATCCATCAATTGAATGTAGAAATCGTTCAACTTGCCAAGACGATTCTTGATTAAAATTTCACGTTTAACATCTTCTACAGAGATGAAAAAATCACCAAAGTTCAATCTTTTAAATTCCTTTTCGGATTTCAGCTTGTAGAAAATCGACATAATTAAGTAGTCTGAAAAAACTGAAAGAAATTGTGATATATATATGCATAAAAATATCTTAAGAAAAACTTACCTTGAGTAAATGTTGTAATTTGAGGTGTTGCTACTTCTGATCTAAAGTGCAAACTGATAAATTGTGAATACTGTGTTAGTAAATATATACAATATTGTTGTAGTGGCAACAGAAGGTATTAAGAAATCTATTTTATTGCTGACATAGCCAAAGGTAACTTTTATAATAGTGCTATAGAAATGGTCGAAAAAAGGATAATATTTATTGCACATGTACTTATTAGCAGGTACAGAATACAATAACAAAAATGAAAGTCAATTGCTACAAAGGGCCATTTTCTTAACAACTATGTTTTGATAATAGAATATGAGTGTTGATATTTTTCTTAAATTTCACCGAAAAACTTTGGATCGTGGAAACATCAATTTTATTTGAATGGAAAATTCTCAATTCGTGGACCTGCTTATAATCGACTAATTTTATGGAGTGCAATAAACCGCTAGTCAATCCGAAATTTTCAAACAATAAAAATAATAATTTAAGTGTTAAATATGATCTGTTAATGAAATTATTACGTTAAACGTTAATTAGCAACATTTTTTATTCATTTTAAAAAATAGCACGAAAAATAGCACTGTTGTCTATGCAAGAATACCGGTAGCTTTAAGAAACAACGTCCTAAAACATTGATTGACAAAAATGGAGCGGTGATGACTGACAAGCTTGATGCAATCATCAAACAAAACCCTACAAATAACAATTCTAAGAAGTAAGTTCACTTTTTCATTATAATACATGTAGATGTTAATTAAGCCACTTTTTACAAAATAACCAACTGCACCAAGAAATAGTGAGGTGTCTGCAAATTATGTTTGCCGAAAATGTCATATACCAGGGCATTGGATTAATGAATGTTCAATAGGTAAAGACAGAATGCCGATTAAGAACAGTTCGGGAATTCCCAGACCATTCATGAAAGATTTGAAAGATTGAACTTTGATGATTCTTTCATATATGTTGAAGATGTAAAACGCGAAATTTTAATTTCTAGATTCAATTGATGAATGCAGATACCAAAGAAGTGATATGCAAAGAAACACAAACGAGATCACGAAAAATAGCAGTGTTGTCTATACAAGAATACCGGTACTTTAAGAAACAACGTCCTAAAACATTGATTGACAAAAATGGAGCGGTGATGACTGACAAGCTTGATGCAATCATCAAACAAAACCCTACAAATAACAATTCTAAGAAGTAAGTTCACTTTTTCATTATAATACATGTAGATGTTAATTAAGCCACTTTTTACAAATTATGTTTGCCGAAAATGTCATATACCAGGGCATTGGATTAATGAATGTTCAATAGGTAAAAACAGAATGCCGATTAAGAACAGTTCGGGAATTCCCAGAACATTCATGGAAACTGTGAATGGTCCAATAGCCGATGGAGCTATGTACATGTCGAATGGTACATACGGAAGAAGACGCAACAACTTTGACTTGTGGTACAAAATTATCACGGTCAGAGAAAACAATCATATAAACCTTATTAAATATGACAAACTGATGTTGTTTTGTAGGGCGTCTAATAGCCGAATGGTTAAGTCGCCATACCCACGTGCCAGTGGTCACAGGCTCAAATCCTGGTCAACAAGCCAGGCGCTTTGTGAGCACTCTCAGTGCTTGTAGCAATAGGGCCATCGTTCATCACAGATGCACTGTGAAATGAATGAGGTTGAGTATATGGATCTTCAGCCAAGTCGATGGACAATGACAGTGTTAAAGATATCAGCAGATTCACAGTGAAGGAAAATAGTGGAATCGGAGAGCATCAATATACTACTGAAATTAAAAAATTACAAAATTGTTGTCGCAACTACAATACAGTAAAAGAATATAAAAAAAGTGTTTGTTTTCGTTTAAATCGTCGATCGTTCAAAAACAATTTTCGTACTGAGACTAATTAATGCGTCTTGTCATTATTTCATAACATCGTCTAACCACGTTACGAGTAAATAAATTAAAAAAATATAATTAATCGAGTACAGAAAAACAATCGTGTATAACCACGTATTTCAAACACGACGAGCATATTTAAATCTAAAATACTGTGTTTTTTTGCAATTATTTGTAACAATTAAAATTAATTAAAGTAAGTTACATTGTCTAAGGTAGTTTTGAAATAAAAGAAATTTCCTATATTTTTCTTTGTTAGTCACTACTATACTGAGTTCAAAACGCGCAAACATTTTGTATGAATACAAGAAAAACCCTGATTTGAAAATGGAGGATGTTGAAAGTTTATTGGGATGGTTGAAAATGCAACCACATTTGCCTTCCAAAATATTTATCTTTTTACGAAGAGTTATAGTTAATTTGGATTTTTTATAAGTTACACATACTCCAGAGTTCTTTGCAAATAGGAATCCAAATAGTAAACAATTGAAGAAATGATTGGATATAACGTAATAATGTATTTACTAAACAAATTAATAATATATAAGTATAGTTATATTATACGTCTTATACATAGCAATTTTTTGCATAGTGCAAGTAATCGGTTCCGGCAATATCCCCAATCCAGATTTTTTCACACATTAAATTTTTTTGATATGGTTGCATCACTCCATCTGGAATAAGATGGCACAACGAATGGTCGCATAATCATCATCGATCTTGAAGGATGTACTTGGTCATGAAACTTGGTCTCCTTTCCAAGAAGAAGTATTTAATATATCTTCAAGTAATTAGATAATTTGCTTATTTATACACAAGTAATTGCACAACGCGTTTGAAACATGCACATTTCAAATACACGAATGTTCATTTTATTTTTAAATTTCTGTTATTACTTGAACATTATATAACTACACACGAGCAATATAAGTACATTTTGCAATGGTCGAATAATCAAGATCGACGAAAATATATTCAATGTTACTCATTTATTTAATTGATTTCAGAAATATTAAGTACAAGAACTTATCGTCTTTAATACATTATTGATTTTAATAATTTTATTACAAAAAGAATTAAAACAGAAAAAAATATTAATTGAATAGCATATTTATTGAAATAATTCTGCTAAACTCTTCACCATTACGTGATACTTCCCAAGTCACCTTTTTATAAAATATTGTAAGTAATAGTCTTCATGACTAATATTCTTTATTTCACAAGCTTATAATTCCCATAGTAACTGCCAATACTTTGGTTTACATACAAAAAGCTTATGATATAGTAAAAAGTTGATAATTTAAACAGAGTTGAATATAATTAGGATGCAATACCTTTTCGCCTGAAGGCCTTTCATTTTGTGAACGCTATTCCATTTATGGATAAATTTATGGCTATTATGAAGCCGTTCATGAAAAAGGAATTGATGGATATGCGTATTACAATTATCAATAAGTCAAAAACAAATCATCAAACGTCAACATCAATTCGATAACAAAGGAATGATTACCCCAAGAAAGTGGAGGAACCTGTGGTTCTATAAAAAATATATTTGGTTTTATTATTTTATAATATTGATTTTTAAATGATTACAGGAAGAATATTAATGAAAACGTAAAATTTTGTTTGTTTTTAATGAAATAATATCATTTCAATATCCTCCATCTTCTTGTTAACACGTAATGACTCTTTCTAATGCATTTCTGGATAGAAATTTCATATTTCATATTTCTTCAGGAATATTTTGCTTAAGTTGGTTAATTGTTTGGGGTTAATTCTTTTAAACCGTCCCAACAAAAATAAATTAAGCGCTGTTAAATCGGGAGAATTGGGAGGCTAAGCAAAATCTGAATTTTTCGAAATAATTCGGTCACCTAATTTATTGGCATAGCAAAGGCATTGTTCTGAATCCGGTGCCAATTTAATTTTCTATGGAAATATATTTAAATCAAGTTTCAATATTCGTCTTGGCAATGTTCTGGAGATGTCCAACTATGTAGCACGTCGACGTACTATGTCCTACAACCACCACATCTTCTTCATAGCTAATAGGTCGATGAATATTTCATCGTTGATGAACGACGTTCCTAAAAACGGATGTTTAAGATTTCAATCATGTTTGCACTGGGATATGTTTGGAACATTTTATTTATGATATGCAACAAAAAAAATCTTAAAAGTTATAAATAATTTAAAACAGTTGGCTTACCCTGTATATATTTTATTTTTTTATGTTTTAATAATTTTTATTTAAAATCTATCCAAAGTGAGCAATATGTAAATTTGATCGGGGGAAACATTAAATAGATAAATTTTGGTATTGCAGCCATCCTATATTTGTCTATTACTTATATATTTTGATAGAAACCTTTAGGTAATTTGTATATTCAATTTCATGGCTGCATTCCACAATTGTATATCATACGTACATATTAGTATTTTATATTAATAATAATATTTTTTTGCCCAGACAGCAAATACAAAAAAAAACATGGAAAATAAGAAGAATGGAAAGCAGGAACTGGTTTCAATCAAGGGTATTGGAATAGGGATAATGTGTGATATTTAAATTTGGGAAGGATATTTGAGTATCGTGGAGTACAGAATTTAGAGTGGGAGGCGATGCTGGACTGTTTGCATTTAAATTTCGGCATCGGGAATGTAGTGGGAAACCGTTGTCAAGGATAGGACGGCATATGGATTTGTAAATGGATGTTTGGCACTGTATGGATATTTCGGAGTTACGGAAAGTTAAGGAACGTAAATGACAGGATCTAAATATGATTTGTTTGGAATGGGAATTGATGTTGAGTTTAGGATGAAGAAGGATTCCAAGGTATTTAGCAAGTGGTGATGGGAAAATGGATTGATTATCTAACATAACATGGGGAGACGAAGGTGTTAGTATTTGATTATCCACTGATAATTCATATCCTAGACAAACATATTTCTAAACTTTAAACAGAAAACAAATCGTGTATACATACATATTTAATACATAACGTGCATATTTCAATCTAAAATACTGTGTTTTTTTTTGCCATCTAATTATTTGAACAATTATGTTCTATTTAAAGCTGTGTGGATATAAAAAAGATTTACGAGCGTTTTTTTTGTCAGTCACTACTGCAATGAGTTCGAAACGCGCAAACATTTTAAATGAATACAAGAAAAACCCTGATTTGAAGAAGGAGGATGTTGAAAGTTTGTTGGGATGGTTGAAAATGCAACCGCATTTGCCTTCCATTGATGGTAAATAAGTATGTTTTTACGAAGAGTTATGGTTAATATGGATTTTTAAGAGTTACAGGTTATATTGTTCTTGAATGCGTGCTATTATAGCAACGAAGCAACTAAACGGTGCATCGATATCTTCTATACAATTCGAACACATTGTCCAGAGTTCTTTGCAAACAGGAATCCAAATAGTAAACAATTGAAAGAAGGATTGAATATATCGTAATAATTTATTTACTAAACAGTATAGATTATATACATAACAATTACTTGCATAGTGCGGGTAATCGGTTGCGCCAATATCCCGGACTGTTTAAATCAAAGAACTAATACAAAAATTAGCCGCACAAACAAATAATTTGACTTCATAAAGGAAAAAAAAAACTTTTAATGTAAAAAATAATTGCGTTGTATATCGGACTATAATAAATCCGGATTGATCGAAACCGCACTATTTCACCATTTATAATTATTAATTAAATATGTTACCAAATACCAAAACTACCAGACAATACCAAAACTGAGATTTACTCATTTTGAAAGTATAACTAACTATTCCATTTTGTAGCTTGCATTGTCCTTTACCGAAGTTAACACCAGAAGGTTACACCATTTTCTACAACTGTTTGATCAACAAGAATCCAGATTTGTTCGTTTTCAACACCACCTTAAAACTTTTCGATATGGTCGCATCGCTTCATCTGCATGAATGTGGCACTTCGAATGGTCATATAATCATCTTCGACCTCGAAGGATGCACTTTAACGCACATCATGAAAATTGGTCTCCTCTCCATGAAGAAGTATTTAATATATCTTCAGGTAATTAGATGGTTTACTTGTTTATACATAACTAATTATACAACACGATGGAATATGTAAATACATGAACGTTAGTTTTTTTCTTTAAATTTCTGTCATTACTTGTATATTACATAACTATTCACAAGCAATATTAGTACATTTCGCAATAGTCAAATAATTGCTACGGATTCGACGAAAACATAATTAGTATTACTTATTTGTTTAATTAATTTTATATTTGTTAAACAATAATTATTTGTAGACGTCTTGAGTTTTGTTGACATATTAAGTTGTTACATAGATGATAAATAGATTCTTTAATATTTCGTAGCACAGACATTTTATTATGAGGAATCTTAAATGAGCAAAAGCATGAACATAATAATTTACAGGAAACTTATTGAAATAATACTGCTTAACTATTCATCATTATACAAAACTTACCAAATAACTTATCACCGTATTATCAAATATTGTAAGTGCTAATCTACATCAGGGGTACGCAACGTGGTGACCGCAATGCAATTCTAAATTGCTCGTGATCACCATTTTAAGCTTTAAAATGCCCGTTGGTCAAATATTCAATGATCTAAAAAACATAAAAAGTTTGGAAATTGTACCCGCCGAACTCCCGAGTTCGTGTGTTCATAGTCGAAAAGGTTACCGAGCCCCGGTCTACATTCTTCATTTTTTGGCAAATACTTGTTTCACATACAAAGCTTATTATACAGCTGAAAGTTGAGAATTAAAACTATGTTGAATTTAATTAGGATGCATTGCCTTTCCGCCTGAAAGGCTTTCATTTTGTTAATGCTGTTCCCTTCATGGATAAACTTATGGCTATTATGAACCCATTCATGAAAAAGGAATTGATGGATATGGTAAGCTTATGAATATTATTATTTTAAATACCTGACAAAAAATACCTTTAATGATATAGCTTCAAATACACACATCACCGAATACCAATCTCTTTAATTCAATACAAAAGGAATGCTTGCCTCAAGAAATAGGAGGAAGCTGCGGATCCATAAAAAATATATTTGGTAATATTTTATATTGTATTAAGGTTTCAATTAATAGTTATATATAATATATTTTTTCAGATGACTATAGGAACAATATTAATGAAAACGCAAAGTTTTTCATTGAAGAAGAAACTTTGGTAGTCAATGAATCTCGTAGATCTGGAAGGCCGAAAAATGCTGGAGACTTGTTTGGCGTTGAAGGAACTTTTAAGAAATTGGATATTGATTGAATATTATTGTTAATTACTTATACATAAAAAATATACCTGAGCAGAAAGACATATGGTCAATAGTCCTTCGTAGCAGTTAATCTTTTTTCTTTTTTTTTACTGTTGCAATAAACATTATTATTTTTTAAATATACTTTAATTATTATTACTTATTAGATTTTATTACAATAATAAACTAACTTCTATAGAAATAAAATATACATTAATTATTAAACTTAATTAAATTTGATCTACTCGTTTCTAATTTTCTTGTTTAGTTAAGTATTGATCGTGGTTTTCAAATGGCAGAGCAAATATGTTTCGCTTTTATATAAGCCAATTAAGTGATTATGTCGTATATATTCGTCATTGCCTCTTGTATTGCCTAACACTTATATATATTCGCACAATTAATAATAAAATACGATAGCGACAAAAATATGTGGCCACTAGATATCACATTTGATTTCATACTTGATGCACTGCTCATTTGTTAATTATTGAAAAAATAATTTTTTAATTTTATTTCAAGTTCAATACAAAAATATGGTTTCTTAATTTTGTGAATAATTATTTATTGGGAATACATCCAATTGCAATTAAACCGTTTTAATATTGTTATAATTAAATACAGTTTATGTATGATACGTTTAACAGTAATAACAGTAATTATAAAATTGATGATAATAATTAATATAAATTATATACTAAACACTGGTAGTGTATATCCAGCCATATTAATATGAAGATCTTCTTATATTTGTCTATTTCTTATATATTTTGTTAGAAATCTACGTATAATTTGTATGTTCATTTTGATGGCTGCATCCCATAATTATACCAACCAAACATCCATAATGGTTTTAATATTACCTTGTATATTAGTAAGTTATTATTCACTGATAATACCTATCTTAGAGAAAAAGATTTCTAAACTTTATTTCCAAATGTTCATTCATCTAAGCAAGTTCCGAGTAAATAACATTAAAAAAATATAATTAATGGAGTGCAGAAAAAAAGTTTAAATACACATATTTCATACATGACGTGCATATTTCAATCTAAAATACTGTGTTTTTTGCCATCTAATTGTAACTAATTTAGTAATTAAACTGTTTTGATTAATAATATTCTTTTAATGCAGTGTAGATATAAAAGAGATTTCCGATATTTTTGTTTGTTAGTCACTACTGCAATGAGTTTGAAACGCGCAAACATTTTGAATGAATACAAGAAAAATCCTGATTTGAAGAAGGAAGATGTTGAAAGTATATTGGGATGGTTGAAAATGCAACCACATTTGCCTTCCATTGATGGTAAATAAGTATGTTTTTATGAAGAGTTAAGATTAATTTGATTTTTTTTTAAGAGTTACAGGTTATATTGTTCTTGAATGCGTGCTATTATAGCAACGAAGCAACTAAACGGTGCATCGATAACTTCTATACAATTCGAACACATTGTCCAGAGTTCTTTGCAAACAGAAATCCAAAGAGTAAACAATTGAAAGAAGGATTGGATATATCGTAATAATTTATTTACTAAACATAAAATTAGTATTACATAACTATAGTTATATTATACATCATATACATAGCAATTTCTCACATAGTGCGGGTAATCGGTTCCGCCAATAACTCGGACTATTTGAAACCGAACTAATCAAGAAATGAATACAAAATTAAACCGCCCCAACAGAGATTTAACTTTATAAAAAGAAAAATAAATATTTTAATACAAAAAAATAATTGTGTGTAAATGAATTCGGATTTATCAATACCGCACTATGTAAGGTATTGCTGTATTCACTATTAATACTGTCATTTAACACTTTCAAATATTTTACTTTTCACAATTAATAATTTCTATTAATTACATATATTTTGACAAAACTGAGATTTACTCATTTTGAAAGTATAGCTAACTATTCCATTTTGTAGCTTGCATTGTCCTTTACCGAAGTTATCACCAGAAGGTTACACCATTTTCTATAACAGTTTCATCAACAACAATCCAGATTTTTTCGTTTTCAACACCACCTTAAAACTTTTTGATATGGTTGCATCACTTCATCTGCAAGAATATGGCACATCGAACGGTCACATAATCATCGTCGATCTTGAAGGATGTACTTTAACACATGTCATGAAACTTGGTCTCCTCTCCATGAAGAAGTATTTAATTTATCTTCAGGTAATTAGATGATTCGCTTGTTTATACACAACTAATTGCACAATACATATGAAACATGCACATATCAAATACACGAACGTTCGTTTTTTTCTTTTAATTTCTGTCATTACTTGAATATTACGTAACTACTCACGAATAATATAAGTACATTTCGCAATAATTGTTAAACAACAATATTTTTTAGACGTCTTTAGCTTGGTATTAATGCATAAATTATTGATTTACATAATAAATTGTTACACAACTAAGTTAATTAAACAAATGCTTCAATATTTTGTAAACAGACATATTATTACAGAAAGAATTAAAAGATAAAAAATATTACTGCTAAACTCTTTACCATTACGCAATTCACCAATTTTCATATATTGTAAGTGTTAGTCTCCATGATTTATATAGGATTCCCATAATACTTGACAAATACTTTGCTTAACATACAAGTAATTTATGATACAGTAAACAGTTGACAATTTAAACCTGAGTTGAATGTAATTAGGATGCAATACCTTTTCGCCTGAAAGGCTTCCATTTCGTGAACGCTGTTCCATTTATGGATAAAATTATGGCTATTATGAAGCCGTTCATGAAAAAGGAATTGATGGATATGGTAAGCTTATGCGTATTACAAATTTAAATACCTGAAAATCATACAATGCCATAGCTTCAAATACACACCTCACCGAACACCAATCTATTCAATTCGATACCAAAGGAATGTTTACCCCAAGAAAGTGGAGGAAGCTGCGGACCAATAAAAAATATATTTGGTAATATTGTATTAATGTTTGAATAAATAACTATATATAATTTTGATTGATTTTTAGATGATTACAGGAAGAATATTAATGAAAACGTCAAGTTTTTCGTTGAAGAAGAAACTTTGGTAGTTGATGAATCTCGTAGACCTGGAAAACCAAAAAACGCTGGAGACTTGTTTGGCGTTGAAGGAACTTTTAAGAAATTGGATATTGATTGAATATTATTATTAATTAAATTTCAAATTCAATAAAAAATGATTTCTTACTTTATGAGAAATCATGTATGATACAACTAACATAACAGTAATTTTGAAAGAAAATTAATAACTTGATGATAATAATTAATATAATAATTTCAAATTGAATAATATTTAAATTTGATTGCGTATAAAATTAAATAGATAAACTTTCTAGACAGATGTTTACCATTATTATAATTTACTTAAATCTATATACTAAGTCAATTTGTTGTTTTGCTTTGTATCAAGCAGATTAATAGCTATGACATGAATTTGTTACTATGTATTTGTTACTAAACTTTGGTGTTGTATCCTTAATCAGATTGATATAGAGATATTTAATTTAATTAAATAACGATGGTTAAGTATTTGATACTTTATTTGGTTTAATTTCTTCCTACTTCTTCAGTTTTCAAAATGTTAAAGATCTACGAATAATGTGATTATTGTAGTTACGATCTATTTTTTTTATTTACTTATTTATTTTTATTTAAATTTAAATTTAATACAATTCACGTAAGAAAATTAAATAAAAATATAATAATAAACAAAATTTATTATATTATATAAATAAAAATATTAACTAAATTTCAATATAGGCCAAATAATTAAAATGTGATTAATATTTTTTAAATTATTTTATTTTATTTGAACATTAAATTTAATTTAATATATCTTCCAAATGTGTTAAACATACTAAATATTTAAAATTTTGTAAAATATGTTGATATAATCAATTAAAAGTACATATATAAAGTTAAACTTAATTTTATGTATTTGTTATTGTACTAATTGAATGTCAAATGTACTTTAACATTTAATTGATATTTTTTTTAAATGTATAAATTAATTATAAATGAATTATTTTAATTCAAAAAGTGGTTTACAAAATAGATTTTAAAATAATATTATTAGTATATACAAGGTCGTTCCTTAATATAAATTGCTTTGTATTGCCACATTTCGAATTGAAAACAACAATTTCCGCTAGATTTATAAGACTATAATTTGTACCCAACCTCGTCTCTCAGAGAAAACTTGATCGTTAAAGTCGTGTAATCTCAACTTGAGTCGTGTCGTGCTTCATTTGGGCGTAAACTTTCCATTATTCTTTCAATTTATAAATATTTTCATTTCCAAGTGGACGATACGATTCTCATTAGAAATGTCGGACTGTGAAGTGCACTACGCCAACAACAAAGACCTGAAGAAGGAAGACGTTCAGGCCCTCAGGGATTGGTTGAAACATCAGCCGCATTTTCCACCACTTACAGGTAATAAAAATTGATAAAATAGAAAGTTTTAATCTACGATTTTTTTTTAAATTACAAGTTAAACTAATATCAAAAGAAATGATCATCAATAAAATAAATAACTTAATCCGAATTTACTATAGTCCGATTTGAAAATTTGTAAATAAATTAAAAATTAATTGAGAAATATCAGAATTATATTATATACAAAATTATTATATTTTATATTTAAATAATAGTTTTATATCTTTTATAAAGTCAAGTCTATTTATTTTCGTTTAGTCCGGTTTCAAAAGTCCACAATATTGGCGGAACCAATTACCCATTACTATGTGATGTAACAAGTAATTTATAGCAATTATTATAAAAAAAAAATGCAGGTTATATAATTATTTTAGATGAATTGTATTTCTACGAGACGTAAGATTATTTAACACTTAGATCAGATGCAATTATATTATATATTTTATAATTAAAACAAATAATGGAATTTGCACACGCTGAAATTTTTCACACAAACGTACTTAGATAGTGGATAGTGGCCATGAAATATTATATAACTTTAAAAAATATTAATTATAAAATTTAAAGAAAACATAGTTTTTATAAAAAAAAAAATAAGTAAATATATAATATTGACCGTCGCCAAGTTGGTTGGTCGCCGACTTGACCCTCGCCACTTGTCCGTCGCCGAGCTGTCGCGTACCCATAACAATATTCATAATAATATTGAAATAATTATAGAAATGATGAAATAAATAAAATTGATAACAATAATATTTATTCTAATACTAAATTACAAAATATAAAAAACTGATTACATATTTAAAAATAAAATAAAAATTCGACAACTTCAAAAGACTACTACTTTTCTTCAAATAATGATACCGCATTTAATTTAAAAAAAACATGCGACTAACACTTAGAGCTAAAAATGTATCACATTATAATTTTATTACTATTTCAAAAGTAGTTGAATTTTATATATATATTCGTAATATTGTTTGTATTTTTTTTAGAATATCAGGTGATAATATTTCTTCATAGTTGCTACTACAGCAACGAAACAGCAAAGAAAACTATAGATAATTACTTAACTGTGAGGAAAATCTGTCCGGAGTTCTTCGCAAATCGCAATCCTAGCAATCCCGACATCCAGACTGCTATAGATCTTTTGTAAGTTACATTATCAAACTTTAGTAAAAGGATTTAACAAATATTTGTAGAACAATTTCACCTCTACCAAAATTAACCAAAGACGGATACTGCGTAATGTATTACCGTTTGATCGATTCGAATCCTGACCACTTCAACTTCAACCATGTCATCAAAATGTTCGATATGGCCGCATCCTTAGCTCTGGAAGAATTCGGAACTGTGAATGGACACATCATTATTATAGATTTACATGGGTATACTCTAACACACGTCATGAAGATGGGGGTGATGTCCGTAAAAAAATACATGTTCTTTCTACAGGTATAAAATGTCTTTCTAACAAAACACATTTTAAATAATATTTTATTTAGGAAGCTTTACCCTTCAGACTAAAAGGTTTGCATTACGCGAATGCCGTTCCTTTTATGGATAAACTTCTAGCTCTAATAAAGCCCTTCATGAAAAAGGATTTGTTGGACTCGGTATAAACTATAAACAATAGTTGTAAAATACGTTATTTTCATAATCATTCTTTCAGTTACAAGTGCACACTGGGAATAACGAGACTCTCTTCGAAGTCGTGGATAAAAGCTGTTTGCCGAATGAAATTGGAGGAAGCGTTGGATCAGTATTCGAAATACACAGTAAATATTTGTGATTGTATAAATTATATTTGTTAATATTTTACGGAATTCATTTTTTTTAGATGCGTTCAGACAGAAATTTTTGGATAATACAGAATTTTTTAAGGAAGAAGAAAAATTGGTGGTGGATGAAAGCAAAAGACCGGGTAGTCCGAGGAATGAGGGAGATATTTTTGGAGTTGAAGGAACTTTTAAGAAATTGGATATAGATTAAAGATTATTAATTTGTTTGATTAATCTTTTGACACATAATTAAGAAACGCTACATTTTATATATATTTTTATAATAGTAATTAAATCAATTTAAATGGTTGTTTATTAAATGATGCTTTTTATAATTCTAGTTTGTTATTATTGTTGTAATTTTATAAGACGTCATATGATTTATAATGTGACTCTGATAAGATACAATTATATTACTTGATTTATGAACTATTATTATAATTAATGTAAATAATTAAACTTGAGGCGTGAAAAAAATTCCACACGAATATTGTTATAGAGAAACTTCGGTTCTCAGATGTCTCGTTTTCCGAACATAATTTCGGTTCTCGAATTTTTTTTCAGCAGAAAATCAGGGAACGAGGTTTGCACAATCTTCCATTTAATTCTATTCCATTTAATACTTAAGTGGTAAAATCTTTCCCGCACAGATTAAGTGATGTTAAATGTTCATCAACATTTTATCTATTTATTAAGATTATTATTACAATTTTGAATAAGATTTAATGCATATTATACAGGTCTTTTTTTGTCAGTTTTTATGACGTGACGTTTATAATATTGGTTTATTTATTCTTTACTTAAATCTAAATTGAAGTTCCAAGATCTAAATTGAAGCGGTTTAATTTTCTTGTTGTCACGCCATTATCGAGAAGGTTGACCGCCAACAAGTTCGTATGCGAATCAAGTCTGTGTATTTTTTGGAGAAATCTTTGGCAACCCCTTCCACCATTTTCATTTCAAAGTCCTTGTGCAGTCTCTTATTGGTGATGTACCATGGTGCACCCGCGAGTCTTCTAATACATTTAGATTGCAATACTTAGATTTTTTTAATATTACTTGCGCTTGCTGTTCCCATAATTGGATACCGTATGTCCAGACTGGTTTTAATATGACTTTGTACACTATCAACTTGTTCTCCAAAGTCTACTGAGAATTTGCGCGCAGCAGCCTATGCATCTATCTAAATTTTATTTCTAGTTGTTCACGTTTTGCCTGGATATGGTACTTCCAAGTCATTCTCGTGCCTAGGTGCATTCCCAATGTAAGTCTAGTGTTTTAAAACTGAATATTTCTATTTAGAATTAATTTGAAGAAAATGACTCGGTTTTAGAACAAATCCGTTTTGGAACTAGTTACGAATTATGTTCGACAACTGAGGTTTCACTCTATAGCAATACTTTGTCCAGATAATCGGTTCTATCTAAATACCACACTTTTTAAAACCGGACTAATCGAGGAATGCAGTAAACCTCACAAGAAGATATTTAAATCTATAAAGAATAAAATCATAGGTATAAAATATAATTTTCTGTAAAATTTCTTTAGAATTTACAGCATTATATTGACCAGACTAGAAGAGGTATTAATAAAGTATTTTAACAAAATCATGAAACATTAATAATTACAGCGTATCAAGGTTACTCATTCATATTATAATTTCATCACAATCAGCTTGCATTTTTCAATTTCTGTCCTGTATGCGTGCGCTTTATTGTGCATCCTCCAATTTGTTCATAAATTGCTTTAGATCCAGATCGAACACGTTTCATTAGCAATGTCGAACTGTGAAGTGCAGTACGCCAACAACAAAGACTTGAAGTTTGAGGATGTGCAGATTCTCATGGATTGGTTGAAACATCAGCCACATTTCCCACCACTTACAGGTAATAATCTACAAAAGTAGAAATAATCTACAAAAATCTAGAAATAAAAATATTTATCAAAAATCATAGGCAATAAACACATTTTCACACGATTCAAACATGAGACGACAATAGCTATGCATTCATTATAGTTGGCTAATTATTTACAAAAGCATACAAAGTTATATTTTTTTAATTAATTTAGATTGTAGCTATATTATATAATAAAGTAAAAATGATGACTTGGCAATTTTTATTACAGTAGTGTATGTACAATTTTATTTTCTATTTTATGGCCTGCTATATGCATTAGCCTTGTCTATGTCTATTATTTATTTCAAAATTATTATGTTTTTTAGTAATTAATTCACCTAACATGTTTGTCAATAGAAATAATAAAATTTTACAAGTTATGACATTGGTATTTCTCAAATTATTTATATAAAAATTGTATTTCTAGTTTTTCTAATGATGTATTTAACATGTAATTCAATTATTAATATTTATACTTAATGTTATTATTGACTTACAACTTTTAAACACCAAATATTTGAAATATTGTATCCTACAGTGACCGGTTTATAATGAATAATAAATTATATTTATTTATACATTTCCATTCATATTATGTCGTTTAACATATCCTGTCTGATCTAATTAAATTCTCAAACATTTTGCAAAATGGAATTTTTCAGAGTTAGAAACATTCTTTTATTTCACCTCAAACTGTCCGATCGGTAATAGTTTCCATTCGATGGTCTCCTAATTCACTTGGAACTCAATAACAATTTGCATTTCATTTGCCTTCTACTTTGTTCAAAATAATTTCTTCTCAACTATCCGTGACTCATATTTATCATAACTTCCTAATCAATGTTCAATAGATTGTTAATGAAATTGACAAAAAAATATCTTAGAAATGCTTTTTTTTTTTCAGAAAATCAGGTGATAACATTTCTTCATAGTTGTTACTATAGCAACGAAGCTACAAAAAAAACAATAGATAATTACTTAACGGTGCGAAAAATCTGTCCGGAATTCTTCAAAAATCGTAATCCAAGCAACACCGACATCCAAAGCACTTTGAATTTGCTGTAAGTTTCAGCTTTAAATGTATATGAGAGGAATACATATTTTTTTTAGCACTATTGCAACTCTTCCAAAACTAACCCAAGAAGGATATAGCGTAATATATTACCGTCTGATTGATTCAAATCCTGATAAATTCATTTTAAACCATGTTATCAAAGTGTTTGATATGGCCTCATCCATTATTGTTAAAGAGATTGGGATGGTGAACGGACACATCATCATTATAGATTTACATGGGTACACTCTCGCGCATATCATGAAGATAGGTGTGTTAGCCGTGAAAAAATATATGTTCTTCCTGCAGGTATTGAATCTCTTTTTTTACATTCAAATATTATACATGTAACTTCTCTTAGGAAGCGTTGCCGTTCAGGTTGAAAGGTTTACACATCGTGAATGCTGCTTCTCTCATCGACACTTTTATGGCCTTATTAAAACCCTTCATAAAAAACGAATTGTTGGAGACGGTATTATACTTATAAATATAGAATTAAAAGGTATTTTTTACATTTTCATTATTTCAGTTACAAGTGCATTCTGGAAACCAAACTCTATTCAAAATAGTCGATAAAAGCTGTTTACCGATAGAAATTGGAGGAAGCGTGGGTTCAGTAATCGAAATGCACAGTAATTATTGTGATTAAATTGGTAAATTTCTTAGAATTAAATTGATTATTTTTTAGGTGAGCTCAAAAAGAAATTTTTGGAGAATACAGAATATTTTAAGGAAGAAGAGAAATTGATAGTTGATGAAAGTAAAAGACCGGGTAGCCCGAGGAATGAAGGAGATATTTTTGGAGTCGAAGGAACTTTTAAGAAATTGGATATCGATTAGAATTAAAATATATTTTATTAATTTTACGTCACATTGAGATATAAAAAAAGACAATAAGTCAATTTTTATGTTTGAAAGAGCATTTATGCAATAAATTATGTTTATTATTATTAAAATGGCAGAAAAACATTTGATCGATAGCCCTTTGCCCTTTGCGTTGAATTTTATATTATTTTTATCATGGTATCATTGTATTGAGTGTAATTATTTTGTAATTTATTGTTGCAATAAATATTATCATTTTTAATAAAATTGTATATACACACTGTTGTATGATTTATCAATAACAAAATATTTTCTAAATTTGTTTATAAAAATTAAATTACTAATTATTGGGACAGCCAACTTTATGGTCTGTTTGACGAAAGGATCGGATCAGCCAAAATATTTCGTTAAACAAAATTACGTTTTTAGAACGAGAATAAAAGCTTTAACAATTTTAAAATATGAATCTAAACTTGTTTATTTTTCTCATTAATTTAACAATTACCTGTACTAAGTTTTTTCATAAATCATCTTTAAAATTTATCATTTTTTAAATATTTATCATTAATTTAGTCGTCATTTTCTTTCTAACCTGACAAGGTTTTATAAATCTTCCAATAAAAACCCATCATATTCTATATTCAATCAACTTATAACATTATTTTCATCAACCATGTTGAAACCATGTTCATTTTCAATTTATACAATGTTATTTTCGCGGTTTGTCCATAAATTTGAACATTTTTTATGGAAAATCGAAGTTTCGTTATCCGAGGTACTACTGTATTATATTTTGCGGTAAGAAAAATAATAGAAGCTGAAAAAATATTACATGAATATCGTAAAAATAACTAATGATAACGATACATTTGGAAAATTGTACGCAAACCTTTGAAGGTTAGTGTTACAAGAATAAATATAGCAACTATGGGCGAATGTGACTCCGAGGAACATAAGGTATTGAAACAGGGATAATGTGGGATATTTAAATTTGGGAAGGATATTTGGGTGAATAATTATATTTTTTATGTTTTCTTATATTTTTGTATGTGAAAATATGCAATTACATTAAATACCAAAAATGAATTTGTGTTTCTACGCGTGGCTCTTTATAAAACTGGATTGCGACTCTCTTTGCCCTCATGTGTGCTTACCTCTGAAATATAGCATCGAGTTTTGTTTCATGCATTGCTGCAGAATTTATATGTAAAATTTAGATGATATGTACGTGTTTCAAATATTTCTAAAATAAATACGAAATACAGTGGAACGAGCAGAATTCATTCCAGAATCTTACGTGAAACATTCGTTAAGCAAAACATTTTTTCCATTTAAATTAATTAAAAAAAACTCAATATTTTTAAGTATTAAGTATTTTATCTTTTTATCAATAATCTTTATATTTTTTATCGTGGAATTAGTGGAATGGAATACGAATTCGATTTGCAAAGAACAACAAAAAATCGAAATATCTAGTTTATTAATTATGACCACATTATTTTCTACTTCTCTTTTTTTATTTTTAGTCTGTCTTTTTCTTCAGAGACCTTTTTACAATGGTTGCTAAACTTTGCGCAAAAAACAAACCAATATGTCTGAACACAAGTTTGGAAAATGATGTAGTAGGCGAACAATCTGGGACTTCCCTTTTTCTTGTCACTAGTTTTGCTGTTTGTATGTTATTAAATTAATATTTATATAAAATCAGAAATAATTATATAACTATAAAAATTAATAATTAACAAATGCGAAAAGACAAACATATTAATTATATTTACGTCATTTTGTCCTTTGTACGTATGCGTGCGCTTTATATTTTCCAATAAATAATTTGACTTTTTACTGACAAGTCAATACTAACTAGCAATGTCGGACTGCGAAGTATACTACTCAAAAAATAAAGATTTGAGGAAGGAGGACGTCCAGCTCCTTATGGATTGGTTGAAACATCAGCCACATTTTCCACCGCTCACAGGTAATGGTTTAAAATTTGTCTTTTTTTAACGTAGTTTTCATTTCTCATAAAGCAATATTAAATTTTATTCAGATTAAAATAAAAATTGTGAATATACTAATAATAAATAACTTCTATTAACGTTTTTAACATTATTTATTTATGTGAAACTAATAATATAACTAACAAAATAATTATGTCTTATAATAAATAAAATAAGTTTATTTTGGAATAATAATCAGTTCCACCAATAAAAGCGCACAAAAAATACCGGTTATTGATGTATTAAAAATAATTATGTGTAGTACTTTTTTACAATATATTTATATTTTGTCAATAAAAAATTCATTTCATCCACACAATGTGAGAAATTCTTACTGCTAAATAATGTAATGATAAAATATATATAAGTACATACATCTTTATAATACCTATTATTAAAACAAAATATTCCAAATTGCTTCCTAAGCTTCACTTCATTTTTTATATATTTTATAATATTAAATACTTAAATTATCACTTTTTTGCACATAGAACAATCAAACAATTTAATATATGCATGCAATAGTTTCCAGCAAAAAACAAACTTGTCATAATAGTTCATAATTGAATACTTGGCATTAGTTATAAGCAGATATTGAACAGAATTTTTAGTTATATTTTTTATTTTATCGTCGATGTAATTTATTCGATGCCGCTTATTTCTTTATTTACTTGCAACACGTTTTTTAATGAAAAACTGGACTATTGAATGGCAATTAATAGTAAATTTATTTATATTTTGATAAATTGATATCATCGTTTTATTTCCAAGGTAATTACAATTTTAACTTCCAATGTTATAAAAACAATTATTATTGAAAATTATTGTTTAATTAATGAAAACATAAATGCAATTGCGTTTTCAGAATATCAGGTGATAATATTTCTTCATAGTTGTTACTATAGCAACGAAGCAGCAAAGACAACTATAGATAATTATTTGACTGTGAGAAAACTCTGCCCGGAATTCTTTGCAAATCGTAATCCAAGTAATCCAGAGATACAAAGCGTTTTAAATATACTGTAAGTTTTAGTTCGAAGATTATGTTAGAAGAATAACAGATTGTTTGTAGCACGGTTTCAGCGCTACCGAAGTTAACCAAAGATGGATACTGCGTAATGTATTACCGTCTGATTGATCCGAATCCTGATAACTTCAACTTCAACCATATGGTCAAAACGTTCGATATGGCCATATCATTGGCTCTGAAAAAGTTTGGAACTGTAAACGGACACATCATTATTTTAGATTTACAAGGGATTACTCTTACTCACATCATGAAGTTAGGTGTAATGTCTATAAAAAAATATTTCTTCTTTCTACAGGTATTAAATCTCTTTCTAATATGGTAAATATTAATCTAACTTCTCTTAGGAAGCGTTGCCTTTTAGGTTGAAGGGTATGCACTTAATTAATGGCGTTACATTCGTGGACAAATTGCTGGCTTTAATAAAACCATTCCTAAAAAAGGATTTATTGGATTCGGTATACATTTGATCCTTATGTAAATGTTTATTTATTAAAATTAAAAATTATTGTAACAGTTACAAGTTCACGATAGCAATAACGAGACCCTCTTTGAAATCGTCGATAAAAGTTGTTTGCCAAATGAAATTGGAGGAAGCGTTGGATCAATATTCGAAATACACAGTAAATATATGAGCTTTATTATATTTGGTGAAATTAAATGAATATTTTTAGCTGCGATTAAAAGGTTTTTTTTGGAAAACGCAGATTATTTTAAGGAAGAAGAAAAAATGGTGGTAGACGAAAGCAAGAGGTCAGGAAATCCGAGGGATGCAAAAGATATTTTTGGTATCGAAGGAACTTTCAAGAAATTAGACATTGATTAAAGATCATTAGATCTTGTAACTAAAATTATGTTTAATAAAGAACCATTTCCTCGATTATTTAGTTAAATTTAATTATATCAGTTCGATTCAGGACACGGTGCTGAGGTCTTCAAAACGTTACAAGAGCCTGTTTGTCCAACAGATACGGAAAAGTACCAAATAAAAAACTTTGGACGGTTTCAAGCTAAACGTGCGTGAAGTGATAACGAGATCGCAGCTGTCTAATCCCACAAAAATTTAGATCATTTTCAAAAAAGGAAGGTCCAATTACACCTCCAGTCCATAATTCACACCAAACATTGACTATTTATGGGTTCATCGTTTTTCATTAATAACTCAAGGTTTTTCATTGCCCCAAATTCGACTGCGTGAATTGCGTGACTGCCCCTATGAGCTACCCTATACAAGAGAACATTTCTAAGGTGATGAGGCAACTAACCTACAAAATGCGCCGTAAAGATGTGCACAAATACTTTCCGATACCTTGAGCTGGATGTCAGGATTTCACGTATGCAATGGACGATTGTCCAAACAAAAACAAGTGCTCCAAATGCCTGCATCCAACCAACCAATGCACGTTGCCACTTCCACCTAAGTGTATGACTTTCAACTTTGAGGACCACTTTGCCAAATGTATCTAGATACCAACTAAACATAATATCATTATAAGGTTATATCTAGACAAAAAGACCTAGCGGACAAGAGAATATTCAAGCCGACAACGATCTATTACCAGATAATGAACACTTATATAAATATGTTGAATTCGCAAAGAAACACTGAAAATTGTGAGGAGTCTAGATCTAACCGTGAAAAAAGACGGTTGAGGACTCTGGTGGAGAAGATATTTGTACGAGTCTAGGTAGAGAAGAAATGTGTGTGCTTCTAGAAGACGGTGTTGTTGCTAGTTACTTTTTAATATATTGGAAAGATAGCAAGATAAGATTTTATAATAAACTAAAAATACATCAAAATTATAAAGAAATTCCTGAAACTGCGACTAGCTTCTGTTCATAAACAGTGAATGCATAAAATTTGACTTTATAATAATTCTTGACTTTTGAGTTACAAAACCGAGTTTGAAAAATTTGGAACAAAAATTTGGAAAACAAGTAAATGCAAACTAATTATTATTCATTATAATTGATCAAATGGTAGAAAGACCTATTTATTTTCTTATTATGTTATTTTGTTGAGTTTGTACTATGGTGATTTGTAGCAATGAATGTTTTTATTATTAATCGATCATATATTTATATTGGGGTACACGACAGCTCAACGACGGACAAGTGGACGACAAACACGTGGGCGACTAACAAGTTGGCGATGATCAAGTCGGAGACGTTCAATTGGGCCGTCTGGACCTGAAAACTCGACGACGGTCAAGTCGGCGTCGGATACTCAAAAAATAAATGTATTTCATTATTTTTTGTCATTGAATCTGAACAAAAATATGTTTTTATTTATACAAATACATAATTAGATATATATGCTAGTGGTGGACAGACTTTTTGCAGCAGGAGCCATAGTGAGCAACCTGAAAATATAAGGAGCCGCACCTATACTTTTTTGGTAAATAAATTTAACAAAATTCTGAATGTATAATATGTACATAAAGAAATCTAAATATTAAATAATTAAGTTCAAATATTTTTTTATGTCGTGTAATTTTATTCACAATATGTTCATCAATGTGAACATTGAGTAAATTTAAGATCGCGGTTGACATTAATTGGATAATCTTTCCCGGCGTATAGTTCACCATTATAATGATTTGTAAGGTTCAAATTATAATAAATAATGTATGCATTTGCAACAAAAAGCATGATCTTGTTTACGTATTTTTTTGCAGTGTAAAGCGCACGCAGCTTTACATTTTCCAATTAATAATTTAATTTTCGATTGTATAAGTCAATACTAGCAAGTGATGTCGGACCGTGAAGTGTACTACGCCAAAAAACAAAGATTTGAGAAGGGACGACGTTCAGATCCTTATGGACTGGTTAAAACATCAGCCACATTTTCCACAACTCACAGGTAATAATGGTCCAAAAAATAATTTTTCATTACGTAGTTTTCATTTATTTTAACTATTTGAGGGGCAAGAAATTCCTAAATTTCTAGACGTGCGCTTTACATTTTCCAATAAATAATTTCATTTTTGATTGCATAAATCAATGCTAGCAAATAATGTCGGACTATGAAGTTTACTACGCCATAAACAGAGATTTGATTTAAAACATTAAACAAATTTTCCACCACTCACAAGTAATGATAATCAAAAAAATCAGTTTTCATTTTTATAACAAATAAAAATGTAATAATAATTTAGTTTTATTTTTAAATGTTCAGTATTGTCTAATAAATTCATAGTGTGTTAGGCTGCTTTTATAACCGGTTTTTATATCGCTCACAGACTGGTATTTACATTTAGGAATATATATTTTTAATATAGAAATAACAACTATTTGAACAGTCATAAATAAACACATCTTTATAATTCCAATTATTTCAATAAAATATTTCAAAACATTATTTTTGCGCACCTTGAATATTCCACTAATTAAAGTTAAAATTGCAGTTTCGCTGCAATTGCTATTTTAGAATTTCAGGTGATAATATATCTTCATAGTTGTTACTATAGCATGAAGCAGCAAAGAAAACTATAGATTAATAAGTCAAGGGATTGGTCCAGTAACCAACCTTAACATAAATACATTGAAGACTCACGCACAATCAAGACACGCACTAACGAACTGCTTATTCTAAAAACGATTTGGTAGGTCTTGGCGATTGTAAAGTTTGTAATTAATTCTGAGTTTACTTATTTCTTCCTTAATTAATCTGGTGTCGGTGAAGGAATAAATATCGTCGTTTGTGACCATTCTTAGCGTCTTTGATTGAAATCTCTGGATCACATCAATAGTGGTGTCAAGCCCCCATAATTGAATGCCGTATATCCAAAAGAGTTTTATAATAACTTTTAATATATAAAGAAAACATATATTAGTTTCAACTGAGATATGTGAATTTCTGCCAAGTTATTTCCTTTTCTTTTATCCTTTATGTGGTTCCTCCAGTGTTGAGGTGAATACCCAGGTACTTGGCTCCATTAGCTTATGGTAAGGGGTTGTTGTTGACAGCGAGCAACCGGTGAACCAGTTGTCGGGTTGTCCTGTGGAGCAAGAATTGCAATGTCGTCGGCGAAAGTAGCCACTATAACGTTCTGCAATGTCGCAAATAATAATTGATCAAACAATAATATTTATTCACAAACCCTCTCTATGTTTCATAATTCCGAATGTCAATGGTTTTTCGACGAATAACTTACCAAAGTGTTTTTTAAGTCGAGTTACAGAGTTACAGTTTTTTTCCGTTAAGAAAATTAAGCAAAGACATGAACAACAGGAAATCACAAGATCTAATTTGTGATGAATATGTCGAGTGGATTAACACATACCAGTCTAACTCCAAGAATAATGAGTAGTCAGATTAAAATTGTCGTTACGAAACAAGGCACATTGCCGATTTCATCATGATAGACGATTTTCCTGAATTGTTGTTTTTTACTAGTCTGGTTGTTTGGGTTTGAGTTTCTACACAACACAATATTTATTTCCAATCCCACCTAACACAAATCATAACTTTCTTTGTATAAAGATTTGTTAGTGACTAATGGTGATTGATTACACCTACTCGATATCATTTTCTTTCTATTTTATTGTATGTTTTCGCCGCAGTTTGATAAAAATTGACAGTTTTGATAAAATCTCTAAATTACTTTATTTTTTTCAGATACACAAGGCATTATTTTTCTATTTTAAAATTGATGAAAAAACGTTAGAAACAAACAAATTATATTCATACAGCAGAAATAATTACTAAGTTCCGAAGTTCCACATATAATTACGAAAATATCTATGTAAATCTAATTATTAACGAACCTGTCTATTATAGAAAAACTTCATCATCAATTATCGATGCGCGCGCTTTCCATTTAAATTTATATATTATTTGTGGTTTTTGCTGAGAAATCGTGATTACAGTAAAAATGTCGAACTGTGAAGTTCACTATTGCAATAACAAAGACCTCAAAAAGGAGAATGTCCAAGCTCTAATGGATTGGCTACAGCATCAGCCACATTTTCCACCACTTACAGGTAATTAAAAATTGTAAATTCAACTGTTTTTTGTCGTATATTACTTTTCTTATTTGATTAATGACAACAACAATCTTATTAACTTTTTTGATAATTATAATTCAAAATTTAAGTAAAAAAAAATGGTCAATAGCTCTTGCAGTAGTTTTTTTTTTGTTATATTATTGTATTGACTTTATATTATAGTAATTTATTGTAGCTATAAATATCATTATTAGTTTTTTTTTTTTAATAATTATAGAGCTAAGGTCAATTAATATATCATTTCTAAATACAATTCAGTAACATTGATGAAATAAATACATTCATAAAAATATATAGTGAAACCTCATAAACGTCATATCCGTGGACTTAAATCAAACATGAATGTTTCTAAAATGTGACATTGACATTCCAAAAAAGGTTGTATAACAAAACATTTTTTCCCATTAAAACGTAATATTTATTTCAAAGCTAACGTATACCGAGGTACCACCATATATTATTTGAAAAATTGCTATTTTTGTTAGACCTTAAAATGCAATTAAATTTATGATGTTTATGTTTTGTTAACTACCAATACTTAGTTTTTAATGGAAAACTCACGTACAGACTACTCGACTATTTAAATTGCAAATCCAATCATGTAAATTTAATACATTAAACGTATTTAGTTTTGATTTTCTTCTTATCTATTTTCACGTAACACTTTCTTACATAATAGGTTGGTATTATTACATCAATATATACACGTTATTAATTTAAAAAATACTTTTTACAATATACAAATTTTGCTTAAGAAAAGTTTAATTTGTATAATGTGCAAATTTGTAACAATGGCAGTGAAGTTACACAATATTTTCTCTAAAAAATTTATTATTGTAAGTTATTGTTAAATATAGAAATATTAAAAATGAAAATGTGTTTGTGTTTTTAGAATATCAGGTGATAATATTTCTTCATAGCTGTTACTACAATAACGAAGCAGCAAAGAAAACTATTGATAATTACTTGACGGTGAGGAAGTTCTGCCCGGAGTTCTTTGCAAATCGCAATCCTAGCAACCCTGATATCCAAACCGCCTTAGACCTTCTGTAAGATCTATTACACAAATTACGTAAAATAAATTAACGTATATTTGTAGCACAATTTCACCACTACCGAAATTAACCAAAGAAGGATACTGCATAATATATTTCCGTCTGGTCGATACGAATACTGATAAATTCGTCTATAACAATCTCATCAAAATGTTCGATATGGCCGCATCAATTGCACTGAAAGAGCTTGGGACTGTAAATGGTCACATAATTGTTATAGATTTAGAAGGATATTCTCTTACCCACATTATGAAGATGGGTGTGATGACCGTTAAAAAATATATGTTCTTCTTGCAGGTAAGGAATCTCATTATTTTTTTTTTTATTCAAACACTATATAACTTATAACTTCTCTTAGGAAGCGTTGCCGTTCCGATTGAAGGGTTTCCACTTCGCGAATGCCGTTCCATTCATGGATAAACTTATGCTTTTAATGAAGCCCTTCATGAAAAAAGAATTATTGGAAATGGTAGTAGACTTGTAAGGATGCTAATGTCAGGTGATTTTGCGTATTTGTAATTTCAGTTACAAGTGCACAGTGGAAATAACGAGACTCTATTCGAATTTGTGGATAAAAACTGTTTGCCGAATGAAATTGGAGGAAGCGTTGGATCTGTATTCGAAATACACAGTAAATAATTCTGAATATAAAATTATATTTGTTAATATTATACGGATTTTTTTTTCAGACGCGTTCAGACAAAAATTCTTCGATTACAAAAATTTTTTCGAAGAAGAAGAGAAATTGGTGGTGGATGAAAGCAAAAGGCCGGGTAGTCCAAGGAATGTTGGAGATATTTTTGGAGTAGAAGGGACTTTCAAGAAAATGGAGATTGATTAGAGATTTTTAGGTGGTAGATTTAAATAATTAGGATAAACTATAGCAGCGTTTCTCAACCTATGGGTCGCTTTAAATTTTAGATGTCACCTTTGACGCAAGGTCAAAAAATTATATTCTAAATAATTGGGTCACAGTACAACTACAGTAAGACCTCGTTTAGTGCTGCCTCGATTAACGCTGATTTGCTATAACCTTAAAAAAGCTCAAATTTTGCACTTAATAATTTCAATACTTTCTAAAATGTTTCTTAATAAATAATCACCGATAAATTCAATTAATAAACAATATTTATTATAACAGTCATAAATATACAAAAATGTACACACATTTTGAATTCGCAGTACAAAAAATAATAGATAATAAAAAAAACTTCTTACTGTAGTTTTATTTCTAGAAAATTGTCTGCTAAATTTATATTATATTTGTTTTAAACGAACAATGGATAAACTTACTAAAATTTAAAAGTGTAAAAAATAATAGTTTCTGAAAAATTGCGTACAAACCCTGGAGATTAAACTACGTTCCAAACTCACAAATGCAAGTCATAAGGTAATTAACTGAAGATAAAGAGATTACATATATAATACAGATTATATTTTTGAAATTATTATTATATCTACTTTATATTAAGTAGAGAGTTGAACCAAATTGCGTTACCGTTTACGGTTATGTTCCAAATAAATGATTGTCGTTCCAGTTTCGGTTCTTCTAAAAATTCGCATTATTTAAAATTAAAATCGAATAGAACATCAAATATTCCGGTATAAACTTTGGTTTAATTTTATTTACCTTTTTCCTTTTATTTTATATTATAAAATTGATGTCTCTTATACATAGTTTGTTTATATACTCTATTAACAATAATAATAATAATAGTTGGACACAACACAATCATGTCAAATCTACAATAACACTAAATATAACATTATCGCAACTCTATTTATATTTATAACTTCTTATAATACATGTAGTTTTTTCATTATTACCTCTTCTTATCTTTTCTCCTCCATACTTCACTCAGCTTGCGCATCTTTCACAATTTCGCCAGCCTTTGTTGATCGATACTAATCTAGCCTGAGTTACCGGGGTCTGGGAGGAAAAACATGTGGAATGACTACACTAAATAACTGCTTTCAAACCGGATTCAGTATAAGGATGTTAGGAGAGACCTCGAATGGTTAATATAGATTGATATTTTTATTTGGGAAACTGCACGTGTGGTATTGGGTGGTCTAGTGGTACCCAACTCTCGGTCCGTGGATCAAAAGATACAGGGCCGCCGAAGGAACATTAAATTATTTCCATTTTATTTTAACTCACTAGAATCTAGTTAGTTAAATGTATAATCATTTTTGGTATAACTGTATCCACGGGCCGCGGTTAAATTATCAATCCGCGGCGATAAAAAGGTTGGGGAGCACTTTTCTATAGTGATACTTTTGCAATCTTAATAAATTTTAAAAGACACGTATAAATTTTTACATTTTTGGAGCTAATAAGGACAGAAGGACATTGTTGCTAATCAATTCACTATATAAAATTGTAAGGCTGGTCAATATTGATTTTTCATTATAACTATACAACTTGACTTGCATACTGATACTGGTCAATTTAAAACGATTCAAAATTTTTCTATATTTACTTCTTTTAACATTAAGAAATATGCTTGTTACGATAAATATTAACATTATCATTATAGATGGTAAATTAGTATTTATATTAGAATTAAATCACTGTGATCGAAGTGCTGAAAATTTTGACTGATACAAAAAATTAGTTAAACAAATTAGATAAACAAACATAATGTAACATTGGAATCAATTGATCATAACTTATGCTATTATTTCTTTTATTCGGAAAATCAAATATCCAGCTATTTTAAAAAAATGAACCAACAGCAATTTCTTCAATGAAAAACAGAGTCAGTAACGTCATAAAATCGTATAAATTTGTATACAAAAATTAATGCTGTCCTAAAATGAAAGAACTAAATGAAAAATTTAAATTGTTAGAAAATACATTAAATAAAAAAGAAAATAAAGATACTGTACTGGATGAACTTGAAATAGAGCCTAAATTGTTATCTCGAAGAATTACTGGCATTAGTACATCAAAGACGTGAATTTATAATCAAAACCTTGAAGAACTTTTTCTATTTGGCACTGATTGAACTGACATTACTTGTTGCAGTTGGTAAAGTCGAGAGAACTTTTTTAATCTTAAAATAATTTAAAATTTCCAGGAAAACTTGAATGGTTTAGAAATTAATTTAATTGAAAACAAAATTAATTAATTAAAAAAAAAGATTCTAGACTTAGATTTATTTACTAAAATATACTGTAAAATTAGGCGAAAATCGATTTAAGTTTATTTCAAGTAATGAAAACAAGTGAAATTTTTTCAAACATTTTGTAGGTTTTGTATAAAGTTTATTTCAAAGTAGATATTAAATGAAAATTGTTGCTTATGGTATGTGACTACTAGTAATTAATGAGAAACAAGGTCGTACATAAATATTAGAATATATAGCACATTGATTTGTTTTTCCTGTAGTTTAAAGGTCTGTAATTACAAGCAAACCCCATCTTCTATAGAAAATTGTTTTAATAATCGTCGTGTAACGTCGTCTTGAGTGCCGATGACGTGCGGTTTTAAGGCGTGCGCTTTCCAATTTCAAATTTAGATATATTTAGGTTATCATCTACAGAAAGCGAATCTACTTAACAATGTCCGACTGTGAAGTGTTCTACAAAAACAACAACGATCTCAAGAGGGAAGATGTACAAACTCTCGAGGATTGGCTCAAACATCAAACACAAATTCCACCAATTACTGGTAATAAGGACAAAAACATTAATGTTTCATTTTTCACTTACATACAAATTTTATTTAAATATTTACTTGATACAATATATACAAATATCAAGTGTTGCATTTTGATTAAATATAGTGACTAAATATCTAATTAAAATTTATAATATTTATCTAACAAATGCAATTTGAATAAATCTATTTAAGATATTTTTAATAGCATAGATAGAAAAAATACAACAAAAATATATTTTTTAACAAAATTAGTTATTGGAATAAGTCAAAACTAACATACAATTATTAAACTAATATTATTTAAAGGCCAGATTGTACACAAAATAAAATATATAAATAATACAATTACATCAGAACTAGTACACAAAATAATATAGAATTATATAAACTCCCTGAACAAAAAGAAGAAGTCAACTCTAAATATAAATAAATCAAACTGATAATTATTTACCCAAAATTGAAAACAAAATGACTATAATATACATTAATTAATAATATTTCTCTAATTACAATAGAATAATAGAATTATATATTAAATATGTATGGTATTTTGAAGGTTATTACATTTCTTCTTCATGTATTGAACATGAATTTGCATTTAGTTTTTTTGTTAATAAAATATTTCAATCAAAAAGAAATGGAGTGTCTTACTTAATTATATTATAATCCCTAATAATTTAAGAAAACTTTAAAATATTTATCTTAATTTATTGAAATAAACATTATATTAATATTACTGGAAAATTGGACTTTATCTAATTGTAATTTGTTTTTAAAGATAAGCATAAATGAAATAACATATGACAATGTTTTATTTACATTTTATTTTTAATGAAAAGGTTTTCTTTTAATTAATATTTTAATCATTTTTTTGCTATTAGTTCATAAAAGTAAACTGGACTATTGAACGTTGTGCAATTAAATTTACAAGTACAACACATTCACGTATAAATGTTATTAAGTAAATTTAAAAAACACGTTTGTTATACACGATATTCTGTTCATGTCTAAATTCTAAGGTCATTTTATTACAACATTGAATAAAATAAATTTCGCATTACGCAAGTTTTACCATAAAAAATGGAAAAATATATAACAGGTTTTTTTAATAAATTATTGATTGAGATAAACATCTTTATAAGCATACAGTATCTTTCCGAATAAAGATGTGATCATAAAGAAAGTATATATTTGCATTTTCCGTTTTCTCTTTAATGAGAATATCGTGTGTTAATATTTCTTTACAGCTTTTATTACAGGTTTATGTACAATTTTCGCATCTCAAAGTGTTAAAGAGTTCGAAAATAAGATATTACACCGAGACAGGGAACCATTGCCGATGATCTTATATGGGGAGAGCATAAATCGATGATATGGAATGAATAGTTTGAATTTGTTTAATTTTTATTTTACCAGAAATAAAAAAAGCAACAATAATACCAATGTTCAAAAACAAAGCAAAATATCGAGCAGAAAATTACAGGCCAATTGCAGTAACATCAGTATTTGCCAAAATAGTCGATAAAGTAATCCACAGAAGACAGAATATATGAATGAGAACAACCTGATCAATCGACAGCAATACGGATTCCAGGCAAAATCAAGTACTATTGCGGTATTAGTAGACGTGACTTCAAAGATAAGAAGCATTGCGGTAATTATAGATCTCAAAAGGATTTTGGCACGGTTCACATGGAGAAATTGCTCCATAATATGAGTAGTATGGGAGTGGTTGGCCGAGCATCGATGCTCTTTCGGTCATACCTTATAGATAGACATCAAGCAGTTAAGATGATGGATTCTGAGGTGTATGAAATGTACAACAAATTCGAGGTCCCACAGGGAGGAGTCCTGGCTCCAATGTTGTATAGTATTTACACTAATGACATAGCTGAAATTGAACTAGAAGGGAATTTGTACATGAATGCGGATGTCACATGTATTCTCTACGAACATAAAGACGAAGCAACATAATAGAATAGTATCAACAGCGACATATTTATTTTTATTATCCCTTATATTCACTACTATTCTATAATAAAAACATTCAGTAAATGATCTAGCGGTTGACAAGATTTTAATTGGACATCACCCATTGGCAATTATCGTTTACTTATTGGTTATTTGTTGAATCTCAAGGGTAGATCCAGTGGCTTGTGTCGTTTCAGTCGCTGTGTTGTTAGGCTAGAAGATTTACAGCTAGTACGTTTGGATGTCTGTCTAGTCTATTTTGGTATCGGCTACTGTTTTTCGTAATTGTTTCCTCTGCTGTTTCCATTTGAAGGTCCTCATAAATTCTCCTGTTAGTAATATACCATGGAGCATTATGATCCTTCTTAGGCTCTTCGACTGGAAAGAGCCTAAGAGCCTATTGTCGCAATGTAGGATCTGCTGCTGACTCCCCATAGCTGTATTCCGTATGTCCATACAGGTTTTAAAATTACAACTTGTTTACTTTCGAAATTATTACGGCCAGTAGAGTTTCCTGAACATAATTTCGAGTTGTTTTCTTTTTGCTAGGATGTGATCCTTCCAGGTCAATATTCTATTTTATTTTTCAATATTCAATATTATTTTTTTGTTAATCGTTACTGGTAGACAGGAGTCCATTCTCATGGTGAAGATGACATGTACTGATTTCGATTCAATAACCTTTATTCTCCATGTTTGTAGCCATCCCTGTATTATATTCAAGTGTACTTGCAGGTGATGTGATGCAACTGCATCAGATGCAATATTGCACTATAATCGGAAAACGTTTCAGCTGATGTCTTATCCCTTAAAGGCATATCTGCGGTATATCGTATACACCTGACTTGATTGGAAACAAATTCATCACCATATCGAACACTTTCAATTTAAATAAAGTTTCAGAAAGACATAAATAAGCTACAAAAATGGTACGATGACAACCTACTACTACTAACAATAAATAAGACTAAAACGCATTACATGATAATGCAACAAAAAAAAAACATATAGCAAGTGGAACAGGAAAATTACTTGGAAATAATAATAATAATAATAAACAAAAAACTAAGTTGGGATGAACAAATAAACATACAGAAAAAAAAGTATACTTTATTATAATTACAAAAAATAAATCATTCATAAATAACAAATATATTAATAATTTTTGTCTGATTTATGTAATAAATTTCATGCACTTATTTATGATTTAATGACATAACCGTTTTAGTTACAAGACAATTTCTACAAAATTTCTATGAAATGTCAATAAAAAAATGAGTTTGATTTATACTAAAAAACATTATAAAACAATTATATAACCATTTCTCCGATGATTTGTATAAACTAAATAATTAAATTGATTTATGTAATTATTGTGTCCTACCACTGATTTTTCTATAAAAAAAAAATCCTAAAAATGTATTATTTCATTTTCAATACAAAATAAGAACTATTTCGTCGTGTGATGAACGAATTAATTTCGCTTAAATCTCTATATAAAACTGCAACGGACATTTATAAAAAGGATGTAAATATAATACTAGTTTGGGCAAATGGCCACCAATATCTGCCAAATATTTCTGGTAGACAAACATTCATCTAGTTTTTTTTTGTTAAAACATTTTTTCCTATTATTATGTTTTAGATCGACTCCTAATTCTGTTTCTACACAGCTGTTATTACCACATTGAAGCAACGAAGAAATGCATCGAAGAGTTCTTCAAAGCTCGTCCACTTTATCCAGAATTTTTCAAAAATCGCGATCCAAGGCAATTCGAAACGAAGTTGATGAATTTGTAATAATTAATGATAATTTCTATATTTTATAAATAATACATTTATTTGTTAATTTTTAGTTGCATAGCGCCATTATCTAAACTCACTCCCGAGGGATACGGTATAATATACATATCACTTATAAACACAGATCCACAAACGTATGATTTCGATTTGCACGTGAAAACGTTGGACATGATCTGTCTGCGTTGGCTTCAGGAGGTCGGATGTTTGAAAGGTCATGTTCTTGTTTTTGATTTAGAAGGTGGATCTTTAAGCCATCTAATGCGTGTTAAATTACGCTCAGTTAAATCACTCATACATTATGTACAAGTAAGACATTCTATATTTATTTTTATTCGAGTTATTTTATTGGCGCTTCCTTTTTTAGGATTCTTTTCCCATCCGTTTGAAGGCCATCCACTTTTGCAATCCGATCTTAATGATGAGTGCAATTATGAAATTAATCAAACCATTTATCAATAGTGGTGTAATGAGTGTGGTTGGTATATCTAATGAAATGTTAAATATTATTTATCAACAATTTGATACATTTTAGTTACAAGTCCATTCCGGCAATGCCGTTCTGGACCATATTCCTGCTGATTGCCTTCCTGATTCTGTAGGTGGAACATTGCTTAGGAGTAAAATACACGGTATATTTTAGCAACATTACAATAATGCGCTTTACTTAACATTAAATATTGGATAAAACTTATATAATTTATTGAATTTTTTTTAGCTGAAGCAGTAGATACACTCATAAAGAATGCTGAATATTTTGTCGAAGAAGAAAAGAAATTTACAATAGAAACAAATTAAATTTAAAAGCAACGCAAATTTGCTCGTAAATTATAATGTATTGTTAATATATGTTTTATTTGTATGTTTTTTGTATGTAAACAAAATACATGATGTTATTTGAAAATCTATCAAGATCAATTTATAATCAATTGTTGTCATTCTATTCAAACGTCTTTTTACCAAATTGTAACTACAGTGGAACCTCGCGTAACGAGCATAATCCGTTCCAAAATTTCCGGATTTTTACTCGTATAGTGAAACAATTTTCCCCATGTAAAGTTATCTAATATATGATAATGCGTTCCATTTTGCGAGTAATTTTTCTTACAATTTATTTTGCTCGTTAAGGTGTTTTTTAAGCGAGGTTACACTGTAATAGTAATTAATAGAAAACTTCTAATAAAATCTAAGAAAATATAAGAACTATCAGCTTTATCACAACAATTAATATGTCAAATGAACTAAACAAAATAGGCAAATATTACCATCACATGGAAATAATTGTTCATACTTTTTTAACTTAAGAAAGTGATTAAACCAAGCAAAATAGCCAATAAAATATTATTAATATTATAAAAATAATCCTTTATTTCTCCTTTTTTAACTGTCATTATCCTAGATTTTAAACATTTTGTTAGGATTAGGAAATTTACCATTTTATAATTCTATATTCTATATTTACTATAATTTTGATAAACTATTTATAAATGAGATAAAAGTGTATTGTTGGTAGCATATATTATAAATATTATAAAAAATCTTCAAAGCCGGGTTGGGCGTGAGTTTCTTACGTGGGAAGATTCTGGGCGCCACTTCCTTTTCTCGAGAGGAAGAACTTCAACTAAAAACTTGAAGTTCCTCCAGATCAACACTTTTCTTCCCTTCCGGGCTCCTTAACCGTATTCATTTACGGTTCTGGTCTCACACAAATATTTCTACTTTTTTATATATAATATACAATAACATTTCTAATGTATGCTCCTCTGTGGATTAAAGGTTTTGGCTTGGAGGCCTCCAAATTCAGGGTCTCTGGACACATACCACATACACTTGATTCACGTTAGTATTCTAAATTACACCATTTATAAAACAAATTATTCTGATGACACTGCTCTAATAATAAAAAATAGCATAAAACATCCAAAATTTTAGACGGAGCACATGCAAGCTGACTACAAGGTCACGATTGGTGAACACAGGGTAAAGCTATTCATTGAATTTACTACAATTCAAAACACCAACTAGTGATCTAGACTTATTTTAACAAGAAGACGTGAATTGTTAATGCAAACACGCAACCTCTTGCATCTATCCTATAGTAAAAATGAACCTACTGGCCAGTCATAAACAAATAATCAGATTTATTAGACTTTGATGTGTGAAGAGAATTTCTAACAGTTATCTCGGAATAGACACAAATCTGGATCTGAATTATCAGATTCTTCATTAATAATATCATATTTAATAGCAAACAAACACAATTGGAATTCATTAGAGCAGGGTTTCTGAAACAATTCCTTCAAAGGAACACTTCGTAAATTCTGAAATTATCACGGAACACCTTGTTTATTTTGTAGGTTAAATAATAACACATACTCAATAAAATTTAAAACACTGAGAAAAAACATTAATTATTTAGTTCTTATTTAATTCCATGTCTTCACGGAACACCTATTAACTTTAGTGTTCCGCGGAACATAGTTTGGGAAATCCTGTTTTAGAAAATGCTCAGAATCAACCCTACTATCGAATATCAGGTTAAAATCAGAGCAATATCTGCATAACTCAGTTGGAATTGTAATTATTTCAATCAGCTGCATGCAGGTCAACAAAATAACCTTCGGCCTTCGAATATGAAGAATAAATAAACAAATGAAGCATCCTAAAGAACAAATGTCAGCAATTTGCAAACCAGATAATAGTTGGTCAAGAAGCGACAAGATCAAAACATAATTATTTGCTGACCACCTCGTTAAGGTTGTATAGGAAGAAATTAAATCAGTTCCTGGAGTCTCCATTCCAAATGCCGCTCCCATAAATCCATTTATGGTGATTCAGGATGAATTGATCCATATTACAGAGGCAACTGCAAATTACTGTCCAAAAAGTAATTACGCTCAAGAAAGCCTAGTAAAGTAATAAAGCTTTGTAAACTTCCTACAGACCCATCAGCCGTCTACCAATTTTATCAAAGTTGTCCGAGAAAGTACTGCAAAAACTAAGGTCTTGACTGCTGGATAACACGTCATAATAGATTGTCAGTTCGGCTTTCATGGACTTTTTCGTGGACAGTTTGTTTTTATTAAAACTGTAATAAAGAATATAAAATTAAGAATGGATTTTATAATACACAAGTTTTAAATAATTAATTTGACACAATAATTTTGAATAATTTGCATCTATATGTTTCTCATCTATTTCCTGTTATATACATTACTTAATACGATTGAAATGAAACAGTCTCACCGGCAAATTGAACTAAACTTTTAAAAAAACAAAAAAATGTTGAATACATAAGGGATAACTGTAAAATTTAATGTCACTAAACCAGATAAAAAAATTTTAGACAAAAAAAATTGAAATAGCTAAGATTTCTTACAATATAAACTATTAAAAAATATACGGTTTGGCATCTACACTTAATTAAACGAGTAGGGAACAGAATGCTATTTAACAAACAGACCAAGGCTATAAAAACAAATGAAGTATATACGATACACTGTGTATTTTACGTTGACGCTAGTACTGTGAACATCTACAATTGTGGTTTAAAGTTGTGACAGTGTACAAAAACCAAGGGACAATATCGTGAGTTTGTTAAATATAATATATTGAGAGACTGAGACTAAGACATATATTTATGAATATTCTATATATTTATATATGAATTATATAACAATATCAATTGTTAATTAAAGTTACCATGCAATAGGCATGAGCAAGTCAAGGTTGATATGCACAGTACATAATAATATATTCTTGCAAATAACAATTTACCAATTTATATAATCGTATTTAGTTATTTTATTTTAATTTTATGAAAGTTTTATTGGCTCCATAAATAATATATATAAATTAAAAAAAATGTTTTTCCAAACTTTTATGTATGTATGGTTCATACAAATTAAAAAAATAATTTTAAATAATAGAATGTAATATAATAATTATTGTCTGCACAATGACAAAACTAACAGCAATTTTCACCTTGATGTGCAGACATGTTATTTCAATTACACTTACATAAATAATTGAACAATAAACTTTGACCAAACAATTAGAATAAAAAATAATAGTATATATATGTTCTACTTTTACATATAAATCACCACAAATGCAATTCATTATTTAAATTTTTTTATTTCATTTTAATTATGTTTTTTTATAAACAATTATTTACGGTAATATTATTGTTTAAACAAATATTTCTGGACTACTGAAATTAAATATACATGTATTTTACAAAAACCAGTAATTTCAGAAATGACGTCAATAAATTTAACTAATTATATATTTTTTTGAATTACATAAGAGTAAAAAGATTAGTATCTTCCCATTAAATTACCTTGCTATAAAAACAGGTTACTTTATTTATATTTTAGTAACAATTACTTTTTAAATTGTTGTTTTTAATTAAATTTGTCATGTTTTCTACGGAACAAAATTCTACCATATCAATTTAGGAGAGAAAACACGAGTTTCTTAGAAAGTGTATATTGCTTAATTATTGTCTGTGCGTAATTAAAACTTGTTATTGTAAATTATATAACTTAATACAATACAGTTTTATTCGCTTTATTTAAAATTTGAAAAATAAATATTGTTCTGTTCTTCATTATCGTAAACTGTAACAATTTTTTAATTTATTAATACAATTAATTATTTATTTTTATGATAATTATAAGAACGGTTATTTAAGGATTTCAGGATTTACGAAGTGTTCCAGGAAAAGTTTGGAAAACTCTGCGTTAAAGTAACTTCGTTTAGCGCTTATCGTCTAGCAACGCATACTCTGCGTTAAACGAGGTATTTCTATACACATTGTTGTGAGTGTACATAATTTTATTATTACAGGAAGATGGCAACTAACAGCGTTGACGTGGAAGCAATGTACGAACGAGTCAAGGACTTGAAACGCGAAGATATCAAAATACTGCAAGAATGGCTGAAAATGCAACCTCATCTACCGGAAATTACTGGTTCGTGCCTTTCCATTAGTATCATTAATTGATGATATGCAATAATTATTTTTTAATATTTACTTTGATCATAAATTACTTTATGATATAAACTATGATTATATTGTCTCTTATTATAAAAAAAAATGCAAATACACTCAAATCTCCATTTATAATTAACCACTTTTTTGCTGAAATAAAACAGTTTTATTAAAAATCAACAATTTTGATGAAATATCTCTTTATTAGACAATCCTACTGTCTGAAACATCCTTCTGATCACAACACGTTTGATATATGCATTCTTGTCAAAGTTGTCTTTCTTCCAGCAATCAAAACTTTCCGGATTCTATCATTGACTTTTATTATCTGCGTCAAACATTAAATTTATTTAAACTAGAGTAAAAGAAAATATCAATTAAAACTTTTGGAAAAACTGTTTTTAGAAAGATATTATGATGGTTGATAAGATGATGGTTTTTCAGTGGAAGTTTTATAATATTGTACTATCGAAAAACGAAAAAAAAATAAGACAACATTAAACAAGTTACTGCCAAAATAATTAATAGTTAATAAGCAAAGATTTAAAAATTATCCTGTTTTAGGAAGAAGTGTTGTGTTCTTGAGCGATCTAAATTCAATAATTCCGTTGTTTCCTTTGTTTAAAATAAGCTTTTCATTTTCTTTATTCTGACTTTTACCTCTAAAAATAAAATTTTACTTAACGAAGAAAATTCGTAGTATGCATCCAATTTGTTAATTGAGTTATGACTGTATTGGTGTTCTTGGAGTTATTATTACTATTGCAGCATCAAAAACTAACAAATCCATAAAAAAATAAGTAATATAACTTTTAGTTTTATCGTTAAATGTATCATAAATTAAAGTGTAGCTTAATTATTTTTTTTTTCTGTAGAACTGCAACTAATTCTGTTCCTGCACAGCTGTTATTATAGCATAGAAGCAACGAAGAAATGCATCGATTACTTCTACACAGCCCGGACGCATTGCCCTGAATTTTTCAAGGATCGAGATCCCCGCAAATACGTCAAAAAATACGAGAACTTGTATAATTATATAACGATTTCAATCAACTGAAATCTTTACAAGAATCTTTTTTTTTTCTTCAAGTTGCAATGCACCTTTACCGAAGCTCAGCCCGGAGGGATATGGTATAATGTATACGTCAATAATAAACACTGATCCAGCCTATTACGATTACGAGTTCCAAACCAAAACCAGCGACATGGCGATGAACCTGTGGTTGCAACAGGTCGGATGCTTGGAAGGACACGTAATCATCTTGGATTACGCGGGCAGTACTTTCGCGCATCTCACCAAAACAAACTTAACGGCGATCAAGAAGAGTTTGCAATACTTTCAAGTAAGGATGAAATCGATAGGTTCATTTTGAATTAGCTAAATTTGATTTAAATTTTAGGAGGGCTTTCCGTTTCGCTTAAAGGCTCTGCATTTCTGCAATCCTCCGCCATTTTTGGATAGCCTTATTAACTTACTAAAACCTATCATAAGCAAAGAGTTATTTAATATGGTATTTGTACAATTAATTTTAAATGAATATAAATTACTTGATGAAAACAAAATTTTAGATACACGTTCATCAAAGAAATGACTTAACGAAGAGTATACCAGCTGATTGTCTTCCAGATGCCGTGGGTGGTACCTTATCTAAGAAAGAAATCCATGGTGAGTCATAATGTTGTAGCTTGTTACGTATTCTATTTATTTATTTTCGGTTTTTTAGCTAATGTCATTAAAAATCTGCTAGAAAATGCGGATTATTTCGTCGAAGATGAAAAGAAATGCAGCGATGAGAGCAAAAGACCTGGAAAACCGAAGAACGCTAGCGATTTATTCGGAGTGGAGGGAACATTCAAAAAGCTTGATATTGATTAAAGAATGAATACAAATTATTATACATTAGAATAACAATTTATAATAATAACAATTAAATCGATTATAGGAAATGTTAATACACAACTATCAATTAAGTAAATAAAAGAAATATATATATTATTCAAATCTTGCATAGGCATCACGAGTGAAGTCGTGGTACTATGGAATTCTACCCACTAAAACCTCTTCACTTCTTCATCGAGGACCAATACTTACGTTACTCTGCAATGTTGATTGTATTTTTGCTAGCACATTTAGCACTCCGTTCACTGTTAGTATTGGTCATCTCTACAACCTTCTTCGTTGTCCTTCTCCACCCTGCGAACGTGTTTTCTAACAAACACTCTTTGGATTCTGGACTAGTACATCTTCGCGCATCTGCAGCATCTGAAGATAGTATGCTCCGGACTTCTTTGTGGTCCACCACTGTGGGGGATCGCAATAAAATGCAGGTACTTACCAAAACACCTTAACCTGTTAATGGCCTGGCTTACGCGGAAGTGGGTTTTGTCGTCGGGTTCAGGCTTTCCTTCTTTGAGCTATGCTATTTATCTACCACTTTTCCAGCAGTCTCTTTATTCGCTTCCATCTGGTTCCCATCCGGCTAGTGCATGCACTGTGCCTCCGAAGATTGCTCTTTAAGCACTCAAACCTTGCTCTTCTCCGCTGAACCGTTTCCAATGTTCTTCTTGACACCCTCATGATGTCTTCCTATATATGAACAGCATACAATATTATTAATTGAGCCAATTCAGCTCTAATAGCCACTGCCTTGATTTGCAGTGTTGACTCATCGTCCGTCTTTGTCATCACAACCACCACCACCATGTCATCCACGTATCCGACCACTACTATGCCTGCAGGTTGCTCGATATTCAGCCGTTTACATGTTATATTTCATTTCTTATATCAGCGAATGATATAACAGTGTTAGGAGTAAAATACGTATCATTTCTTCTAATTGGTTTCAATATTTAATAATAACTTTCATGGAAGCTATGACGATAATTTAAGATCAGTCGATTATTAATAGTAATTTAAGAAACTCTTAAAGGGGTCGACCGTTTTGCGACCTTTAAAGATTTCGATTGAATCAAGTATTAATTATTTGTTTTCTTTATTATATTATAATATGTAAAACATTTATTGATGGTGTGTTCTATAATAATTGAATAAAATAATTATTCGTGCAAAGTATTTTGACATTTCATTTATCTTCATTGAATTTATTTTCTGTATTATCAAATAGTTAAGATTAACATTTCATCTGTACATAATAACTTTAGGTCGATGACTCTTTGACTTTTGTTTAATATAATTATGCGAATAGTTTGCATAATTATGAAAGGTTACAAATACTGGTTTTCACGTTCCACATAATCACGTTCCATAGCTGCGAATTTAGTAGTTTGCCATCTCGTTAAATGTAATCTATTAAACAGGAGGATATTTACTTAATATTGTGATTTTTACACTAAAAGTAAGTAAATAGTGCAATTATATAATATTTTTTTATCACGTCATTAATTAAATTCAATAATCCAGTTTAACGGCATTATTTTGTAAAATTTTATTTTTTAATATAGTAACTAACAAATAAAATATTCAATTATATGAAATATATCCATTTAAATTGTATTCTTATTTTAATATAAAATAATTATTTATTAAATCTTTTTAACTTTACCAAGAGCTTATAAATTAATGATTTCTTCGTCCTTTATTTTAGGACAAAATGACCAATATTTTTTGAATGAATATAATTAAAGTAATAAATAGTATTAATTAGATTTTTCGCAATTGAAAATACTTAACAAAAATGTTATCTATAATTACTTTTTTTAACATAATTGTTAAATCAATTCAAGGAATTAAATATTCATATTCTATTAATACGAATACATTTAAAACTAAAAATAATATTGTTTTTCATACCTTTCACGATAAACAAATAGTCTTGTTACTTAGCCGATAACACATTTACATATCTTTTTTGCAATTAACTTAATGTATTTACAAGAAATATTCACAAACAAAACTATAGTTATAAGCTTTTCAAAACAAGAATAAAATTAAAATGTACAGCAATACCTCTCATAGAACGGATTTGATTAGTCTGAATTGACCATAGATTTTGACCATCTGATTTTAATATTAAAAAAAATGAATTGAGCAAAATAAAAATAAATTTTTGAAAGTAGTACACAAAATTGTTAGTTTTTTGTACAAAAATGATAATTTTTCTCTTATTTCATTAGTACGCAATATTGGCGGAACCGATTATCCGTACTATGCGAATTATTGAATTCCTTATGTACTTTTAATTAAATTTTAATTTGTAAATGTCATATTCAATGAAACTGAATAACTTTGATATTTTATTTTCAGTAAAATGGCCAATAAATTTGCGGATGTTGAGAATTTGTACAAAACGTGCAAAGATCTCAAACGTGAGGATATTGAAGTACTTCAAGAGTGGTTAAAGATGCAACCACATTTACCACAGATTACAGGTTTGTATATGCAATGTCCTTTTAACTTAAGGGCTATCAACCAAAGTTTTTCTACTGAATAAAATGGATTTTTTTTTATTCAAATGAAAACACGTGTATAATTAATAAGATATGTTTCATTTCATTTATATTTAAATGAATCAAAAAGGTGACGCAAAACGTAGCCTCATATGTGTCACAATCGCAGATTAAATTAATTTACATAGTCCATCAAGGAAAACATCTTTAAAATTTTATTTATATAAAAAAAAGTAAAAATAAAATATTTACATCCAATTTCGTAAAATTTTGTAGTTTGATAATTTCTAAACAATCAAATTTTTAATTCAGTAAAATAATATAAATTCTAAAAGAATGGTACACATATTTTTTAAATAAAAATGATAGGTTTTTTTCGTTTATTCAACCAATTCTATTTTTTTACGTTTTAAAGTTCTTGTTTCAAACAGTCCGGTATATTGGCAGACCGATTACCCACACTGTGTGTATTGTATATATTGTATTTTAACTTATTTTTTCAATTGTTTATAAAAAAATGTATTATTTTAAACTTTTTTTTTTATTCAAGAATTACAGTTGATCCTGTTTTTGCACAGTTGCTATTACAGCATCGAAGCAGCAAAGAAATCTATCGATAACTTCTACACGGCACGTACTCATTGTCCAGAAATCTTCAAAAACCGCGATCCTCGTAAATTCATCAAGCAATGCGATCATTTGTAAGTTTCTACTAACGAGTTAATCAATTTCCTTAAGCGATGATTAAATTATTTTAAAGTTTTAACACGACGTTACCGCAATTAACACCAGAAGGATACGGCATGATTTATGGACTGCTAATTAACACTGATCCGAAGAACTACAATTTCGAAATTAGCATGAAAACGTGTGATATGCTTATGCATCTGTGGCTGCAGGAGGTAGGATGTATACAAGGTCACGTTGTGCTCGTTGATTTCGCAGGAAGTTCGTTTGGTCATTTCACAAGGATCAACTTGATGACACTTAAGAAAACTCTGCAATACTTTCAGGTAAATTTTAGGTATTGATTTTTTGTTGAAAACTTTGATTTTTATTTTTAAATATATTGCAGGAGGGTTTTCCGTTTCGTTTGAAAGCCATACATTTTTGCAATCCACCGACGTTCTTGGACTCAGTCATTAGTTTAATAAAACCGACCATGAGTAAAGAATTATTTAACATGGTATTTATTTGAATGCTACGAAATAATATCTATTAAATAACATATAATTTGAAATTTTCTATTTTTAGATTCATGTCCATCAAGGAAAATCCATAACAAACATCATCCCAGCTGATAGACTTCCTGAGTCAATTGGTGGAACTGTATCCACCAAAGAATTGCACGGTATGACAGTGAATATACAAATCTTTATAAATATAATATGTAAATGTTGTTTTTTTTTTTTTCTTAGAGGATTTCATCAAGAAATTGTTGGAAAATGCAGATTATTTTGTCCAGGATGAAAAGAACTGCGTGGACGAAAGTAAAAGGCAAGAAAAAGCCAATGGAAGCGCTTTCTTTGGAGTTGAAGGAACGTTCAAGAAGCTAGATATAGATTAAATTAGAACAAACTGTAATTTACTTTAATTGATTATTTTATTCATATATACCTATTACTACCATTAGCGGTTAAATGACCGCTTCAAAAAAAAACATATTGCAGAATGAGATTTTTGCCAATTGTTTTCAGCGCATTTTTTTACAAATTACAGGATTTTACAGTAACTTTTTATATAGGAAATTCTAAACAAAATTTCAATAACGGTCATTTCATGATTAGTTCTAAAATAAGTTTCACTTAACAAAGCAATTTCATGGAACATATCCTTTTCGTTAATTGAGGTATTACTTTATTTAAACTACTAATTCTGTCATATTTTACATATTCCATAAATATATGGAATATATTGGATAAAAATAGAAATTGAGTTGATAACATTTTATAAATCAATTCAAATTATAAAGAATAATCTAACTACTTGAGAATTGCGAGGCGAAACATGCAAATTGTGTTCTATTTTTTTGTTTTAAAAATAGATTATGAATTAAACAACAGGAGCGACAAGATTACAGTAATTGCTTGCGTGTCCATGGTTTGTTAATAACGTGTTCAAATTATAAATCTTTCGGTAAACTTGTATTAACGAATGCCAGAAAAAGGTCAATTTAACATATTTGTTGCAAAAAAAAAACCGTCCCACATCTACATAATCCAAAAGCAAAGCTAATAAGTAATTCAAATAAATGTTATAATTCCAAAAGTAACACACTTTCACGCGATGAATAAAACAATAGAAGATAACTTATCATGTGGGTATATAAATATGAGCAGCTCAGTGAAATTATAAAGTTGCAGAATAAAATGATTGAGAAAACTGTGGTTTTGGTTGTACTGGGGCTTGTGGTAAGTTACTAAAAATGTAAGATTCTTAACGTATTTACTATAAATGTTTAGGTCTCGAGTCAAGGATGCATGGACTACGAGTCCTGTGTTGTGAATATTGAAAATGCTGTAAATGCGGCGACAGATACCATGTCCTCGTACTCGCAAGAAAGCGAGGATTTGAGCAACACAATTAACGAGAATATGTTGGCAGCAGTCAGTAAACTAAACGAAGATATTCAGAACGGTCCAATTAATTGCCAAAAGTATTCCCTACCTAAACCTGCCATTTCCTACGTGGAAAATCTTTTCGAGTTGTGTCCATCCACTTACGTGGGTGAAGCAGATGCGGAAGTCGAATCTAAAATCACTTCCTTCCCCTCGGACTTCATGGAAATCAACACGGCTGAAGAGAGAGAATATTACTGTACTTATATAGTACCTGGTATGAATTTCTATTGCAACCGTTTGAGGACAGCTATTGATGACTTCAAAAACTGCGACCTACTGAAAATGTTCGACGAAGCTTACAGGATGCCTTGGGAACAATGCATCAATTTGTAAATAAATACGTAATTAGAGTATTTTTGGTTTTTAATAACAAAATATAATAGTAACAAGTGTATATAAATATATGTATCTACAATTATTTAACGTATATGAGTATTCAGCGTTAAGCTCTAAAACGATGTCAACAAAAAAATAAAAACATGATCGACTCTTAAAACGAATCATCCTAGATGAAATCTCCGGTTTTTTTCCGAAGTAAATAAAATAACAAAATAAAAATAAAATGAGCGAGAAGCGAGTATAAAACAAGTGAATCTCAATGGTATGTGAGTATCCTTATTTCTTCATTGGACGGAAGATAAAAGTATGAATGATTAAGTATATAAATTATTTAGAGAGAACAAGCTCAGTCTTGGTTCAGATCGGAACGATCACTGATCAGTTGCAATCAATCTGCTCTCCCCTGTCATGGTTCTGCCCAACTTCTCAATGCTCCTGCAGGTCCTTCCTCTAATCACCAAAACTATGGAGAGCAAAGTGATGAAACCCATTAGAAGTGAGCCGATTTTGAAAGCCATATCTATTCCGTTCACTAAATAAGTAGAATCGTAGATGACTTGCTTCGCCTTATCAGAAAGATCTTTAGCGTCCACTCCAAATTCCATCCATGCAATTGGTAGAAACATGTCGTCCTCGAACATTGAAAGTTGAGTAATTCCGAAGGATTTCTTAACCTGTATATTGGTTTGAACGCGTGTCCAGCCTTGCGTGGTGAAGCTCATGAATGGATGAATGTCGATAAAACTTTGATGGTTCTTTGGATTTGGGTTCAATCCGGTGACGGCTTCAAACAGACTGGGATCGGCTTGGTAGAAGTGTGGTTTCGAGATAAAGAGAGGAGTACCAAAGGCGCATTTTGTGGCGTTGAAGAGGCCATGAGGTGGGCATCCTCCCTCCATGTCACAGTAACATTGGTTTGAGGGATTGTCGATGCTGGGATGACCATAAACGTTTTCATCAACTGTATATCTATAACAAAAATTAATAATTTAATAAAGTGTCTTCATACGCTATTTTTTAATATTATACCTATAGGCTTTAATAGTATTGTTCATGATCTTAATTTCCTTCTCAAAACTGTATGGCATCTTCCTGCAGATATCTTTATACAATAATTCGACTGGGGCTTTGTTGTGTATTTGTTTTGGCGAGAAAAGCACTCCTTCGACGGCATCCACGTTGTTACAATCTTCGTTCAACCAATGATCATAGTTAGCTTTTTCGGCCATGCTCTTGATGGTGCCAACCTTGTTGATATCATCTTTACCCGTGTATATTTCAGTGACGTCTTTAGCAATTCCATTCCTCTTTATAAACAAAAACAAATAAATAAATACCATGACCAGAAAACTCAAAAATTAAATTAACTTACATTAGCTAAGAGTCCAAATTTCTCAAATGGCAGAGGTTTAGTCAGAGCCAAAACACCTTTAGCCAAATTGTAAAGATCATCGTCGTAACCAAATACAAATCTATCGATTGGAAGGGTAACAAATGGATGAGCGTTTAAACTCCTGAACAATCCGGACATTGCCATCCTGGTCAAATAGAAAGAATCCTTGCTCATGGCTGCAGCGCTGAGCAGAGGCATATTAGGTACAACAATTCTATCATTTTGTCTGCGACCCTTCGATAGATGTGGCAAGAACTTGAACGTATGTTTTTCTTGGAATTTAACTGTGTTTCCATCATCGCTGAACTTGACATTCACACGTTCCATGCGATCTCTAATTATATAATAAAAACAACAATTAGCAAACCGTTTTAAAATTAATCCAACTTTAAAGATGATCATCCGTTTGAATACTTACTCATAAATGAAAGGTCCTAATTCATTGACGTTCAACTTGTCATCGTATCCGGCTTCGACGTTTTCAACATTGGTGTAATTGAAGATGTAAATGTGGAACCTCGTCGGCGTAGGACTCACCCAATCTTGGTATGCTTCAGATTCGTTGGAGATTACGAGTTTCTGAAGGATTAAAAAAAATGTTTAGAAAATTTTATTTATTGAGTTAATTTGTAAGACTTACGGATAAAATGGCATTTTGAAAAATGCTGGTGCCCCAGAAAATGAAACCGACACTGCAACTGGCCACGAAAAGGATGAATAGGGCAATGAGTACTGCAAAAGACAACAAAAAAAAATATCAAGATTAGATTCGATGCAGTTTGAGGATGATTCTGTTTTGAGGTCAGAGCGATAAGTCTTTAAAATTTCAATTACCTATTATTGCCAGACATATGATGATAACCAATGCAAGTACGAGCAAGACAGGCGCCGCATTTGATAGGTTATCGATAATACATTTTTAATTCAACTGCATTTTATTTTTATTTGCATCGATTTATTCTGAACGTGGATCTGAGATGATAATTAGTATTGGCGATCAGAGACCTCTGCTTATTTTATTTTGTTTTTTTGTAGATCTCTTCTCCAAAGCCTCAATTTGCCAGCGACTTTTGACGCATTGCGATAACACTTTCGGAATTAGATTAGCCGACGGATTACGTCCGTTCATTGTGTAAACATCGAGATGAACTCTTTGACATGCAAAGATCACACCACCCGAAGCCAGATACAACTAGCTTGCATTATGTCCGATTTTGAAACTTTGTGGCAATTTATATGAGATTGCTTAAAGACGTCTTCAATCGGAACGGGGTCGAAAAATCGTATGTTCAGATTCTGATTGATGTTTGAGCAGAAAAAATGTAATCGTATTTGTATTGTTGCATTTCCCTCACGTGAATGAGCCTCAGTTACAGATAAGTCATTAATGAGAGAGGCAAGTAGCGAATGGTGCAATATCTATTAACAAATTATTTGTTGACATATTACATAATTATCGATAACAATGTGAGCTCTCCCAGATAGAACAATATATAATAAAGTAATGAAATTGATCATTATAATAATGAAAGTTGTTCTGAACATGTACTATTTTCACAATGATAAGCTTTGGTAAAAATTTGCCAATTTTTCTAAAAAAAAATAGCATCGCATTATACCAATAGATGATGACAAGGTTGCCAACCGGGTGATAACCCCGACCCGAAGTCTAGACTTGATATCATCTTACCAGAAAAGAAAGAGATTCCCGCGCGCGTCATATATTTATTGCAGAAAAATACAACTTTTTTAAATCTTGCCAATATCTCGTAAGTACCAAAGTTTATTGACCACTGCAAAGCAGTTGACATTAATCTATTTAAAACCGATTCTGTTTACTATCAATGTTGAATGAGTTTTCGCAAGGTCGTTAAACCTACTACAAAATTTTGTTGACAACTACCTGATTTGAAATAATTTGTAAGCCCATTTAAAATCTAAACTTGAATTGTTCGATGTATATTAACTCTAACTAATTCCATAACTTGAAATATTATATGTTCTGATGTTTAATAAACTATTCCAATTATACCATTCGAAATCTAAACTTCAAGATTTTTACTCATGTTAAATTATGGTATTCAAAAGCTTAAAATTAGTTTGAGACTTACCGGAAATCTGCCTTATGTGCAATTCATATCCACAGAGTTCAAAATATTTGGGTCCAACCTCGGTGTTCTGAATTTTGTTCAGCAGTTCTTTCGTGTTGAATATCTGCTGACAGTTGTTCTCGAAGTTCCTTTGTGGCGCGGTACGAATGCGACCACTCTCCATATCGGATTGTGAACGAAACATTGTTGTTTTTTTTTTTTGCAGAAACTACTGTTTTTTATTTATCACAAATCGATGCAATATAAACGGACGAAGTAGTAGTAATAATAAAAAAGAAATAGTAATAGTAACCGAATAGGAATTAATTGATCTGTTTGCTCGGTGCTTGCTGCTTGCAGAGATGCTGATTAGACTTGAATGAATCTCTTATCAATATCTGGAAGGTATTTAAGTTGCCCGGCATCGCGTGATCGGGTGGGGATTATTCGATTGGATGCCCAAAGAGCTTATCAGTACAGAATTAAAAAAATATATATGTACGAGAAGAAGACGTCGAGAGATGAAAAAAAAATATACTATACATATACATAAGTAAACAGATAGTCGGACGATGCGCTAATTTTTTTTTCATTGCTACCACACACTTATTTTTTATTTTTTTTTTTTTCTTGCGCAATGAAAACATCTTTTTCGATATGTTCGTGAGATTCGCGTTATGAACGTAAGAAGACGGGTTTTATCATCATCAATTGGGTTGCGCCAATTATTTTTCAGACATCATAGAGCTGATTACATTTCATAACAATCATTATTGAATATTATTATGATAGCGATTATTTAATTTTTGTATTATGTTGATTATTTGCAGACAAGATTTATTGCCGTTTACGATCAACATTTGCGCATTGCATTGATGCAAATTCCCGTACTGAACGTAATCAATGTAAACCTATGTAAGAGTATTCTATTTATTTTCCTAGATAAACACCGTAATATCTCTATATTATTGAACGCCAAAGGGTGTACGCAAATAATCCATTCAAAATAAACATTTCGCACGTAATTGGACCAAATGCTATAAGTTTTTTTCAGACTTTGGATTTTCTAAATGTCCTGGAAGATTTAAATAACACCGTTTTATCAATTCCTAGAAATTTTGTTGTTTGCATATTCCTAGTAATAATGACTTATACCATCTAAAGCAATACAATGATTTAATATCTCGTACTTTAGCAGAATAATAAATATTAACATTAATACATAAATGTAATAGTTCCACCAACAAACATTATTCTTATATATTTCAAATAATAAACAATTAGGGGCTTAAAACCTTAGGTCAGGTGTGTCCAACCTAAATTGTTTGATGGTTCAAAAAAATATTACTTACTTTAGATGGGCTACACATATAAAAAAAACGAAGAACTTATTCAAAATATATTATTACCTTATAGTTAATGTGAAACTTGTTTTTGTACACCAAAATTCAAAATATAGAAAGCTGAAAACTGCAATTGGACAGGCATGGCTTAGCTTAGCACCCTTTAGGTCCGCCCACCAATCTCCATCAGCGCCCGCAAACCCAAAAAAAAACCGTCTCCCACCGGCAATCCCCGCACACAACGCATCCCCCGACGATGACCCAGACATAACCCTATTTCTTAACACCGTCAAACCCATGTTTCTCCACCCAGACTCAAACCTCCGCCTACCAAATCTTGCCAACTAATCATTTTCAGCTAGCATGACTTAATCTAACCATGTAAATATTGTATTCTGGCTAAATGAGCAAAAAGCTCACATGGCGTACATGTACTCCTTAAATTATCATCCTGTATATATCTTAATCACATAAATAAAAGTCTTCTAAACTGAACTGAACTGCAACTTGCGCTTATGGACGGCAAATCTGGCCGCAAGCAACTCAAAAACAACACATTTTTATTATTATTATTAAATAATTAGTAAGAAAGTTTTTTTGAGATTTCAATAAAATAAAGGAAAAAATAATTATTCAGATTTTTGCCTCCTTTTAAGTCTTCATTTGATTAAGAAATTAATCCACTTCTACTAGAACAATGTTAACTATGATACTATAAAATGGATTAGGTTCTAAAATATTTAAACAAAACTACCCAAAATATACAAAATTTGAAAGAATTAAAGATCAAAATATTGAAATATATGTGTATTATCTAGAAAAATAATTAGTTTTAGGACTTTTAATTTCAATATTATTAAAGATTTATTCAATATTTCAAAAATAAGAAACAGGAAAAATGTTTCTAATTACTGCTAAAATTGTTGAAACAATAAAATTTTTAATTTTGGTTTTAATTAAATAATATAATATTAACTCAGTTCACAAAGATATGATAAAAGCTAATTTAGGCAATGAGAAAATTCGGTATTTTATTTTCTTGAAATAAAATCTAATTTAAATATCTTAAAACTGAAACTATTTAATTATTACAATAACTACTGTCACTAGCCCTTTCTATTTAGTTATACAAAAAAATTGTTAATTATTTTTACATTTGTTAATCATAATTTATTAATTATTAAAAATTTAAGTATTAATTTTTTATCTTAATTTAAAATAAGTCTTTTCTAATTCATTTAAATAAATTTTTGCTTTTTCAATTTATATTATCAGAAAATATTGACAATAAAAAATCTTAGAATAATTGAAATTATATACGATATTGATGAAATATAAATTTATATTTTGATTTAATATTGATATATATATAATTTTGCGTCAGTTACTAACGTATTATGATGTCTAATAATAGCGTTGTTGATTACCAAAAAAAAAACGCTGTTCATTAACATTATCATTAAATTTAATCATATTTGCGCTTAATTTCAGCTGATGTAGCCTTTCTACCATAAGTATATACATAAGTATTTTATTTAGATGTCTGACGTTTCTTAGCTTTTCCATTTCTGTTATTCTTCGGTAATGTTGAAACAACTTGAAAAAAAAGTAGGAAATTATGTCTGCCTCAAATGCGCATTTTTACTTTCTTATCGCGCGACGTTCGAAGGTTTTTACATTAACATTAATAATAATAACATGGATCAAGATTAAACCGATCTTTTTTTAATGTTGTGCTAATGATAATAAGCACGCATATTTTGTTTATTATATCGTTTCCCTGCGCATCTACCATGTTTATTTATTTTGGGTTATATTATGTTGAAGTGCGTAAACAATATATGCAATAGAAATAATATTTTTATGTTGTTTTTCAATAAAAATGGGTCAAAAAGCATGATGCGAAAATGAAAGAAATACACAACGTTTATATAAATAATTATAATATGATAATTTATGTTTGCTCTTCATTTAAACAACAAAATTTTTGGTAAAGCATTATTTTACAAAATATGTTCTGCTTAATATCTACTAAATGAAAATAAGTTACAAAATATGTTCTGCTTAATATCTACTAAATGAAAATAAGTTATGTCACTAGTTGTACTAGTATTCGTTCAATGCAGGCAAAGTTTCTTTTAGTAATAGAATAGCGGCTGGCACACAAAAATTAGCGACGGGCGCACATGAGCATACCGTAATACACTAAGTTATGTGATATATTGGTGCATGAATATTAACTAGAAATAAATATAATATCATCAAACACTCCTGCACTGATGCCCCGCAATTGTATATCAACGGTTTACTATCAACAATAATTAATTACCATATTTTTTTTCCTTACTTATTTGCTTCTATCAAAAAAGTTTGTTCCGATTTTTCACGAAAAGGGATGATATTGTCCGTTAAATTGTGCATATATCTTAATGGTTTATGTAAGCAAGCTTCAAAAACTTTCGTCGATAGTTGTTCTTGATATTTTTAATATCTCTGCTCATTCACGAGATTTCAGCATTATTACTAGCAGAATTTTAAGGCTGAAATCATAAGCAAACATTTAGAGAATTATGTTCCTAAAGTTCATTCAGCTAAAGCGTAAGTAGAATATATCTTAGTTATTGGTTTAGTGGCATTTTTGGCTTTACAGTGATATTAAAGGCTAAACTGCACTTTGCTTTCTTCCATCTTCACGAGGGTAACTCGTAATGTGTCAGTTTCATTTGATCCAAACCATTTTTTTTTCTATGCGGTTGAAATCTCACTTTTTAGAATATATACTATCGCAATATAGCAATATCTCGCATAATACGGGTAATGTTTCAACAATATCGTTTGAAACGAGTACTTTAAAACCACACAAAAGAGACACAAAAGATGTTACATCTCACTCAATAAGATTGTAGGATAACTAATAAAACAACAACTTTTGGGCAATATTCGACTTTATTCATGAACATAGTCTCTTTCAAGAGTGATAAATTTATTCCAATGCTTTTCTAACATATCAATACCTTTCTTGTAGAACGATTAGTCTCAAAATACTTTTCCTTTCGGCAATCACTTCTTCATTGGATCCAAATCTCTTTCCCTTGAGTATTCTTTTTAGGTTTGCAAACATGTAGAAGTCGATTGAAGCCAGATCTGGAGAATACAGTAGATGAGGAAGCAATTCAAAGTGCTATTCATGCATTTTGCCATTGTTTTTATCGACTTGAAATAGTCTTGATTTTTCATCTTTACCTGTGCGAAAAAACGCAATTTCTTCCTTCAAACGAACCAATAACGCCATATAATATTCGGTATTGATGGTTTTTCCTTTCTCAAAGTGAGCAATCTATAAAATTCCGTGAGCATCCCAAAATACGGAGCTAGTACGGTAGCTGTCATTTGCGTTTTTGGTTGCTTTGAACGGCTTTCAGCCTTTGCTGACTACCGATTTGACTCTCGAGTGTAGTGGTGGATACAAGTTTCATCCATTATTACAAACCGCGTGAAAAAATCCTTTTTAATTCGCTTGAACAGCTCCAAACTCGGAATCATCAACTCACAGTGGAGAGCAACTACGGTACCCATTTCGAACAAAGCTTTCTTATGATGAAATGTTCATGCAAAATGATAAATGTCATTTCCACAATATTTTTTAATTTTAATATAAATGTGCAATCTTCATAAAAATTTACAAACAAATTCAGTTTACACTTTTGTAAAAATACCAGACATGGCCAATCCGTGCCCCAATTGACGTTTTCGGCTTTCTATATTTTGAATGAAAAGGATATCAAACAATATACAAAAACAAGTGTCACATTAACTATAAGGTAATAAAATATTTTGAATAAATTCTTCATTTTATTTATTTTTTGTATTTGTGGCCCATCTTAGCTCATTATTATTTTTTTGGTCCGCCAAACAATTGGGCTTGAGCAATATGATACAATAAATATTAGAGTGCGAAATTTTTTAAACAGTTTTAGAGACCCCATAAGCTTTAAATTAACAGACGAAAACTATTTGATCTGCATGAATATCTATTAACTTGACATTGTAT